TTCCTCGAGTCGAGTCGAGTCATTCTGATGAGGGACTCGAGTCGAGTCGAGTCATTTGCTCGCAGTGACTCGAGTCGAGTCGAGTCATTTACCCGTCGGGACTCGAGTCGAGTCGAGTCGCCAAAAAATGTGACTCGAGTCGGACTCGAGTCGAGTCATTGACTCGAGTCATTACAACTCTGGTTTCCATATGAAAGGATTTTTTTATGAAAGCAACGGACAAATAAATATTGGCCTAGATTATGGTCCCAAATCGACTGTCTGAAACCAAATAAGTTTCAAAATACCTTGCAAGTATCCAAAGACCAATAAGGTTTGTGTGATTGTAATTTTTGAATTTAATCATTTGAAAAGTAGGCAAGTAATTTTACTCAAAACACAACTTTTAGTGAATCTACAAATAGGTAGTTTGACAAATATCTTTCAATATATTGTCCATTTCTTGTCCGTTTGAGAGACACTCTTGGCTAGATCAATGTATTTTTTTAATTTCACTACAAGGTGATCTAGTTTCCTACGGCAGTTTAGAGTGCGGTGTTTGTATTCATTCATTGACGAGGGTATTTTCTATGACCTATCTATATTTTGGGTTCCTCAATGTATAAACAAAATGGATTCAGGAATCACTTGAAGGTTTTCTATCAAGTAAAACAAAAAAATAATGTTATAATTACTACAACATCGTTGAACTCATTAACAGGTCTGGATCTAAACCCACGGTAAATGTGATAATTACAATGCTTTCAATATATAAAAAAAAAATGAAAATTAGTATATGGAAAATAAAAGGACTCCTATTTTCATTTATAAAGAGTTATTTTTCAAAGCAAAGTAGCAAACCTAAGACAACGACTTCTGGCAACCTTTTTTGACAACGTAGGTGTAGTCATGTATACATGACGCTATTTCAACACTTGTAATTTCATCGAAAGAGTTGGCATACTCTTCGGGTCAGAGTTTTGACTTGAACTAAATGAACCAACAATCCAGGCATTATATTTCGAGGTCACAGTTAATCCTCCTACGTAGACTATTTCAGGCTAGCAGCGCGACTAACATGTGCAGTTGGTTTTGTTATCAAATACAGTGTCATTGTGTGAACTTTAAAAAATGTTTTCCATTTTTCGGTGAAGCTTTTCACTCTTGTACAAAAGATTTGCGTCACTGATATGATTTGAATGACAATAACTCTGGACAGGTTGGGCAAGTTGAGGGAAAAACCCAAGCTGACGCAATGATTTGGGGACCTTATTTGCACCTTTTCCTGTTAGTTATATAAGAATGTAAGATGTTCAAAGTATTATTTCCTTCAAGTACAAGGTGCCTATGTGTGATTTTGTGAGCAATGTTACCAATACAAATGGCCCCATATCAACTGTCTGAAACTCAAGTTAAGGAAACCTTAATAGTAACCAAATATATCAGGATAACATGATTGTGTAATTATGGATTGTGTGATTGTATTTTTAGGGGAGTCTGGTAGGTGCAGAAGTTACTTCCCTTGCCTTCCACCGCTTTGGTCCGGGTTCGATTCCTCTCAGGGCCACATGTGGATTGCCTTTTCAGTCCCTACCTGATTCTGTGGATTTTCCCTAAAATATTCTTCTGGGGTTTTCCTCTCGACTTTAAAACTGTAATTACTCCTCACTGTCTTCTTTGGCTTTCGAGCAACAGTGCCTATGAAGGCACTTTTGAGGAATCCTAGGTTTCATTACCAGAAAGATATACAATTGAAAGTAATCACTTAAAAAAATATGCGACGAATTGTTTTTCAAAACAGAAGCCACAACTTATAGTGAATCAACACAAACATATACTTTCAAAATTGAAAATGTTCTGGCTGTTACCTTTCGCCTTCAACCCTGTACAGACAGACAAGCAAAGTATTCAATATTTGTATACACAACATTTTTTGTTTATTTAAAAACCCTGGATATTTTCGAAATTTGTGACATTAAAATGTTGTCTCTTAATAGGAGTTGTGACATTAGGGAGAATTGAATTGAAATGATATTTTCGAAATTATATTACATCCCATGAGATCATGTATGGTTTGTTGTCATTTAGAAGAAACCAATTTAACGTTGGTGATTTCCAAGGATCAGTATATTAATTAATAATTTCTTAGTTTGACTCTTTGCAAATTGAAGATAGGCCTATTAAAGTAATAGGCCTATTATAATAGTATCTCTTCAGAGGGAGGTTATTGTACTCACACGAAGTCAGGACCTTCTAGGTTTGTTGTTTACAATACATGATCTTCTACATAGCGGGTTGTCCAAAATATTTAAGTGGCTTGTGGTCAAAAATCATATCCCATATGCAATTTCGGTAACGTTCTTTTGAATATTTCAGGGATTATTAAGGAAACACCCAAATCCACTTTTTACTTTACTTTTTACTACACCACAATGGTGTTTTTCTGGGTATTGTTCATTTGCGAAAATTAAGACGGTGCAATTTTATACCTATTTTCCTCGTCCTTTTGGTGGGCCAGGCGCACATTTGGATATAGTTTACGAAATATATAGACCCAAAAGGAGAGCCATTTTTCCCCAGTAGATGAAAGGTTTGAATTTAGGATTACATGTTGGAACAACAATGGAACAACATTTTGAACAATGTTTCCCTCCTGGGGGACACCTTTCATGATTTGGTGTGGGGAAAATGAAATTACAAAAAACTACATTGTCTAAAATTAATCCATTTTGTTTCTGAGTTTTGCCTTGGCAGTCTTATCAGTAAATTAATAGGCACAATTTAAATTGTATTTGGCTTTTATGCAAGAGGAAGTACAGGTTTTTGTTTTATATAAAAATGGGGAATGATAAAAATATCGAATTTTGTCCTTAAACTCCATTGTGTTTCATTAAAATTAGAAAACAGAGCTGGGACGTCTATTCTTTGAAGCAAACCCGGCACATAAACGGGAAACTTAAGGATGGATTAATGTGGTTTTTTTTTTAATTCAGAGAAGGGACCAAAACAAACACAAATGAGTAAATGATAAAAATGAGTAAATTGATAAAATTGGAAGAATTCAGTTTGAATGTCAATTGCAGTTGTCAAATGATACTATAGCAATTTGAGATACATTCTCATTTACAGATGTATATAGTAAGCTGAGTAAAATGCTTTTATGTTGTAAAAAGGGCTATGGTTGGGCTTGGAATCATTTGCCTTGCTATCAGTCATCATGGCAAGACATCAGCTTAATGCCCAAGGGCAAATGATTCCAATCCCCAACCGCAACCCATTTTTCACAACATGAAGGATTATACACAACTACAATAGCACAGCACTAAAACTGATTGAGGGAAGGAACTTAGTCACAGTGTCCAAGCATGTTGTGCAGTGAGTCCAAGCATTGTGCAGTGAGGCGTGAGGGACATTAAATGAAACTCATAGGGGTTTAGGCCAAGTGTAAGGAGTATCTGCACAAATATCAAGTTTCAAATTAACTTCGTTTCCAGTTATTTAAACGATATTTAGGCGGAGTTTTTTTGTGTGGGACATACTGTACGCCTTTACTGGATGGGGAAAAACGCACCAAGATCGCCTGTTACAGCTATAGAGTTTTTCTGTTAACATCATTTATCCTCACTTCTATAAAATGTAAGTAAGATTCTGGCATTTGTGATTCTCTGATGACGCGCGGTGAGTTGTCGAAATGCTGAAAATAGAAGTGAAATTATGTGAATTTCGTTTTTTGCTCGTGAACCTCCACCCATTTTTTGTTTTAATGTCATGGCCCAGCCCATAAAAGGGGTCGGAAAAAAAATGGCATCATTGGTTTGAACTAGTTGGGGTATCTTGTGATCCTTAGAGTTTCAAACATTGTTCCCAAAAATGCATAAGCCCCCCCCCCCCCCCCCCCCCCACAAGCCCATTTACTAAAAGGTAATGTCAACACTATTTATTCCCCCCAACCCCGATAAAAAAATCTCCTTCAGATATCTTCACAAAACTCGGTCACAATTTCAAAAACAGCGACGAGGAAAACTGAAATTCCAACTAAAGGTTCAATTTATAATGGATCTAAGAGAAGTGGGGGAAAAACCTCAGCAATATATAACTACATACATAATGCTAAACTGGTAGAATAAGAATCGATGATGTGTTACAAGTCACTAATCACGCATATTTTTTCCCCGTGAACGTTCCAGGACTCACCTGCAGTCAATGGCGGGCAATCGGACTTTGGCAACTGATCGAATCGCTGGTTCTGAGCGCTGTGTCTAACTTGCTCGGTGATGACGAGTCCCGGAGTTTCCGAGTTACATTCCCATGGATCTGTGGATCAACACATGAAGCTCAAGCAGGACATCTAGACGTGGGTAGTCGCCGGACGAGTCCGAGTCTATTATGCAAGCGTGAAGTTTCACTTAAAAGCATAGTGTGAGACTACAAGACAAGAGGGTGAATGGGGTATTGGTGTATAGGCGCGACGTACGAGATATTTACACCCCGATTCCACAGGTATTTCCTGGTACTGGTTATTGACCTTCGTTGAAAGTCAAATGCATTCCGTCAAAAAGAACCAGAGGGCAGTATTTTGGAATAAAGTTCGTATTAAGTTTATATCAAGTTTTAAGAAGTGGGAAAACTCGAATGTCCGCCTATTAATGCACGTACAAATGTATGAAGGAATTAGCTGAACAAGCCTAGCACTATCACATCCCAACGATGACACTGATCGCCGCATTGAAACTGATTGATATATCTAACTTTTAAAAGATCAGTTCACGCTCTTCCAACCATGCTGCTATATTTTATAAATAAAATGGACGAAAGTGAGACAATTTGTATCCATCGACAAAAAAAAGGTACTACAAATATTACTCTGAGCTTTCACATTAGTCTTGGCCCAAGACGTCAATGAATGTTATTATTAGAATTATTATATTATATTTTAGTCCTTTCATGTTACTGAAACTGGAGAAAAACGCCGACCTGATGGTCCACATTGATGAAAGACTTTTCTACAATACGCAGTATACTTCTTTTGTTTTAATTTGATTTTAATGATTACTGTAATAAAGAACAAATCTCACAGCCGAACAAGTTATCATCTTAAAACAATGACCTTCTGCTGCTTTCTTTAATATTCGAACTGTTCATTCTTTTATAGTTTAGGGACTTTTCACACACTTTTGAAACTTTGATAGTCTTGATTGATACAATTATCCAATTTGTACAACTACCGCACAAATTCATTTTAAGCATAATCGATAAACCTGAAAAATAAGCAAAAATAAATACTGTTTTATCAAAATATATTGGCATTAATATATTCCAGCTTTTTTATAACAAAATATATGCATATTCTTCTTATATTTGCATATTTGATCTTCAATCATCAACAATAACAGATTGAAACAACTAATTAATCAATAGCACATTTACAATGTATTATCATTTACTAAATCTCAAAACCTTCCACGCACCATTTTGGCTACTGGAGAGACCTTTTACAGCAAAAATAAATACACTGAAAAAGTCACATAAATAACGAAATTTACAGATGTTTACTGACCATTTTGTCTCAGCATCACGTAGAAATTTGCTTTCAACGAATTAATAAGAAGAATGTTTACAAAAAAGTTCTGATTATTTTTGTTCCTGTTAGCCTGTCAAACAGCAAAAATATCCAGAAATTGCTTTACAACAACACGGTCATTTATTTTGTTCGATATTAATCTGTACCATTTGCATATTCATTATTTCTTACAGATTGAGCAATCCTATTGGCTCAATACAGAAAAGTGAGGTCAGCGGCCGTGTCAAAGTTTAATTATTTGAACTCTGTAGTGACGTCGTCAGCGTCCTTTGCCCACAAGTCGCTGGGGCTACAGCAACAACTGAACCGTATGTAAGATGATCAGGCGTCAGTTTTTCAGTTGCGTGATCATTGTGCAACTATTGCGCGACCGACTATAAACTGGCCATAAAAGCTCACTGCTATAGTCACTACTCATGACTAGTGAGTTACGACGTAACTCATCACTACTCATTCCCCCTTGCCAGTGATGCAAACACGCTGTCCTCCTTGCCTATCAAGTTCATGGGTGAGTCCTGCTCGATGATCTTGCCGTCACTGAGAACCAAGACCGTGTCAAAGTTCATGATGGTGGAAATGCGATGCTGGAAATAGAAGACAAACTTTCTCTCAGCCAAATCACAAACACAAATACTTCCCAACCCAAGAAAATGGTGATTTGGAAACTACCCAAAATCACACGTCAACCATTCACCCCCAAAGTGCAAAATGAGTAAAGTGTAATCAATGTCTGAATCACAAAAAGAGGCAATTGAAGCTTCTAATGACTTTATCTTGGTTTTTTTCAATGTTTTTAATGGCATACACGAGAGGTTAAAACAACATGAGGAAATCAAGGCGGATCTGAGGTAAAGCTGCATGCCCGTTAAAGACATGTATCATTTTAACAATTTGGTTTATTTCTTAATTTAGGAAGTGAAGGTAAGTTAACCCTTTAGTCACTGTATAGAGCTTGAAACCGCCCTAAAGTACCAGAAACCACACCAGCACTCTATGGTTTATTGATTCTTCAGTCAGTAAACACAATGTAATACAATGTAGCAGAGGTGCTAACCAGTTACTGTTAGAAAGAAAACACAAAGAATATAAAAGAAAGAGTGGAAAAAAATACAGGTTGAAGCAATTTTTCAGAAAGAGGAACTTACAGCGATGGTCAAGATGGTGCGATCGGCAAAGGTGGTTGCAACCACTTCCTGCAAAATCTTATCCTGTGAAAAAAAAATATATTACAAATTATCCACTTTTAAAAGCTGAGAAAAAAATGAAATCTTCCGCAACCCTTAAAAACAAAGATGCACAAAGAAATTGACTGGAGTTGGGTTTGAACCTGTGACTTGCAGATTGCCGTTCCTGTGCTCTACTAACCCAGCTAGCCAGCCCTATGTTGGTGGGTTCCCCATTTTATTTTGTCAATGTCTAAGACCTAAGACTTGTGCTGGGTGCGGTGTACATGTTTGCATAATCATACCTTCTAGCAGTGACAATGCAAAGTTATCCATGGTGTTCATGGCTCTGCTTACAATGGCAGGGCTTTCAGCACTGACAGTGAGCATTTTTCACAGGTAAAGGAATCTTTGCTGGTAAACACATTTCCATACAGTACCTTAGGATTCTGTGGTTACTGTGTTGGAACAGAGCTTTGCCCTCTTGTATGATGTGAATTTGTATCGGGAGATCTTAATTTAAATATCAGATTTTGCCCCTCACCAATATAACTTTTATAAAAAACTTTGCACTTGTCGCTGTAGGCCCTATTGGAGAGTTTTACTTTGTCAGCATAGAATAGTGATCACAAGTGTAGAATTTCAACGACTGATGTGACAGGGAAATATTTAACTTTACAAGTTTTGAGTAAATGTCCATACGTTTTTAGAAACAGTGGTTCACCCAAGGATTTCAAAGTAGATTGCAGTTCATTTTGGTTGCCTCCAAGTTTCCCGTAAAAATATTTGCTTTGACTCGGACGTAAGGATAGGCCTACATCAGCAAAGAGTAAAATATCTGGCAATAATCTTGACGATTGTGACAGATTTTCTTTTCTGTCTCGAAGAAGAGAGTAGTTATCACTGACCGTGTCTATATCCATGGAAGCCGTAGCCTCATCCATGACAAGAATGCGAGACTTTCTCAAGAAGGCACGAGCCAGGCAGAACAGCTGACGCTGCCCTACGCTGAAGTTCTCGCCTCCCTCTGCTACCTCCGAATCTGGAAGAAAAGAAAAGTGAGGCAAAAGATACAATGTAATACAGTGTAGTACAGGTGCTTACAATGGGTTGAGCTCTCACCTTTCTCAGATGTATCGTCGACAAAACAAGGAAAGATCAAAATTTGATAAATTATGGCTTAATTCTCACCCAATCCCTTCTGTAGGCCAGACACCACATGCTTAAGTTGAGCGATTTCAAGAGAAACCCAAAGCTCAATGTCGGAGCTCCGCCCTTCAGGATCCAAGTTTCTCCTGGGTAAAAAAATAAAATAAACAACCAAGAAACGTTCCACAAAAGCAAACAAACTACGAAGATTTACCCTAACTCCCTTGAGTGATTTACTAGGAACCTTCATCATCACTCCTGCAAATTCCAACACCATATTAAACTTGACACCCAAACTGTTGGACTCTGATTATGGTGGTATGCCTAACCCCATGTAAAGTATAATCAGTTTACTAGTGCAGTACTCACTCCAACAGATAAAATCCTAGTGATAGACTTTGACTGGGTGGGGATTTTTAGGGTTAAGCTATTTTACAATCACGAATCTGGAAATCATTTGCACTTTCAAGCCATTTTGGGTGCAGTAATTCTTCTTGGTCGTCTTTGGATTTTGTTTAATTTTGGAAAGTGTTGTTACAACTAGGAACCTTAAGAACACCCTGGGTTTTTCCACCAAAAAAATCATTCTTTCGGCAAAGCCCATATCCTTGCCAAGTCTGGCTTTTTTTTCCTGAAGCTGTGAAGCAATCTTGGACAGAAAAGTGTCCAATGCTATTGATTGGTCGATAACTCCGAGAGTGACCCTGGAAATTGTGGAGCAATCTTGGAACATGGTGCTTGTGTTCTTGGGCAAGAAACTTTTCTACAGTTGCTTCTCTCTCCATGATTTTACAAGGTTGTAAAGGTGGTAGAACATTTGTTTAGCCTGTAACTGTTTTCCGTTTTTAGATGTCACATATCATATTCACACTACCAACAGAAGCTCATTAAACGTCTGACATTTGTTCATCTGAATTAAGGAATTACCCCTTTGTGACCCCTAGCCAAAAAAAAACAACAGTCAAGTCACACGGAAATTATAGTAAGCTGTATTATAGGCTGAAAAAACAGCCTATAATACAGCTAAAGTTCATTTTCTTCTCTGAAGATAGTGCCAGATCTTGCCTAACCTGATTGTGCCTGTAAAGAGTTCAGGATCCTGTGGAATGATTGACAGTGCCTGGCGTAAAACTTCAACTGGTACTGTTGTGATGTCTATGCCATCAATTAGGATTTGACCTGTATATGGTGGCAGAAACAATGTTACTTTTCAATAAGATAAGGCAGACATGACACAGTGCTTAAATTAATTCATTGACTGTGGAATAAATTGCCTTATGCTGGATCTGTGCACAAGTACCCCCTCAATGGTAAGGCAGGGAGAGTTGGGGGAGACCACTTGGATTGACATTCGAACAAATGTACGATGGCCCCTGACGCTCACGCGAAGATACTCTGGCTTTGTCCACATTCCGAATGAAATAAGTTGTGCGTACTTAATGCTAAACACGCGTGAACCCACACCCTCTTGTTTTACTATACTCCCGAGGACCATGATTTGTGTTTTCCTTTGTCCCAGTAACACACTCCCATAGACTGAGCACACACACCTACCACAGAGGACCGTTTTGAACAAAAGACCCAACTCCCGAGGACTGAAAGGATCTGTTGTTCTCCCTTTGTGTGTCTGTCCTCGGGGGTTATGTAGGACAAGTATGGGTGCGCATGCGGTGTGTCCCCTCAACACGGCTTTTGAAAGTGGTAAATTAGCTAGCGCCCTCTCCAGCTCGTGCACAGAGCCCATAAGTAGATGAAAAGAATTCTATATACATGGACATCACTAAGTTTTCCTTGCTGTCATTGCAAAGTGATGGCATGTCCTAAAAAAAATCAAATTTAGCTGGGAAAATATTGCAGCATTCACTGAGAAAACACTTAGAATTTGTCAGACCAGTCTCAAAGGGTTTGTGCACAGGGTGACAATTGATGTCCTATAAAATTCAAGTATTGCACTATGACAATCGTAGGAGGGGGAATTTGAGGGGGTCAGGGAGGGCTTAGGCGAGGGGGGCTGGTATGGAAAGGGAAAGGGGTGGGGTTTTGGGTTTGGGGTGGGGTTCTGGGTTTGGGGTGGGGTTCTGGGTGTGGGGTGGGGTTCTGGGTGTGGGGTGGGGTGGAGCTGGGGGATGGGTGGGGTGAGAGAGGGGAGTTGGTGGGGGAAAGGGGTTTTTACCTTGACAAATCTCCAGGATTCTGAAGAGCGACAATGCTAGGGACGTCTTTCCACTTCCAGTCTGGCCACACAGTGCAACCTTTCATTAACAACAAAATAACCAATGAACACCTCAAAGCAAAATGGAAATAGATTCTGAGCGTTTCTATGCAAGTCTTTAACTGTCTTATATTATTTGGATAGAATTCTAACTTTTGTAAGTTTGACTTGTGAGAATTTGTTTGCTGAATAAGTCTAGAAGCAAATACGACAACCAGTTTGTGGTGCGAATGCCAAGTTTTCACACTGTTAATTTGAAAAACAATTCAAACTACAGCAAATTCTGATGTGGATGCTTCGTGACAACAAATTCACCTACTGGCATTCACATCAAGTGTTTAGGTTAACCCCATGCGTACGGGAAGCGGTCATGGCCGCGGCCGCTAATCCTCATTGGAATGCAGTTGCCAGCTGTGGTATGCCGTGGCACATGGCTAGTGGGTAGTTCCACAGCTGCTGCTTTTGTGCAGTCCCGCTACCACACAAAGGCTGTGCAGTCATGCGGGCCACTTGCTCTATGTGTGGAGGAATGTCGCCATTACACCCCGTCCTTATGGGGTTAAGCATTTAGGTGACTCGGTTCTGTGCAAAGATATCATATAGCACCACACACCATGGCTCTGTGTGAATGGTTATGTTTGCACACACACACACACACACAAAACATCAACCAGAAGAGACACACTTGTCCCCAGGGTAAGCCAAGGCTGCAATATGATGGCCTTTGCCGCGCTCCCACTGTCACACGCCCAGCTTATGTGTGACCTTGACATATGTGCTTAAAGTGTCTTTGGATGGATGATGAGCTATTAGGGAATAACACAAATATCACAACCTTCTCTCCAGGTTGGAATTCCACATCCACTCCCTCCACCACGACTGGCAGCTCCTGAGCATATCGCAGCGATACGTTGCTGAATGTCACCTGACCCTTGTCTGGCCAATCGGGCGGAGGGTCGGTACCGTCGTAGAGCTCGTTGGCTAAGCTGCTGTAATGCTTGACACGCTCCACTGAATTCATCTGGATCTCCGTGTCCGTGGTGTAACGCACCAACCAGTTCACTTGGCTGGAGACCTGTTGATAATTAAGTAGGGTTAAGAAGAAAGCTACAAATGTTAACCAGATAGGAGCCAAGTCATATATCACTAAATGCCTGGGATAAATTGCAGACAAGTTTGTCCGAAATAGCAGGGATATAATTGGTCATGTTTATAAGATAAATATTTAGCACTTTACCCTATCACAACCGGGGAGGGAGGGAGGCACAAAACCCGCTTTTAATTTCCACCTTTTCAGCACAAATTGTCACCGTTTCACAAACTGACACCTTTTTTTGACAATTCTTATATGAAAAAAATTCAAAGAAATTATAACACTATCTTGATCGATAAATGATTTTGTCTCAAAGCGTGGATACAGCACTGTCTAAGGGGGCTTTCGGTGACAAAAGTGATTCAATTTGATGGATATTGCCCCAAAGAATGATTCTATGAAATTTGAAAGCATTTGAATGACAACTGTAGAAATTATGCCAAAGATACTGTTTTTGACTGAAACTGCATGGGCAAAATTGTAGCAATTAAGCGCCCTAATTGTGGTCACCGAAGATTACCAGCCACCTAACATTTCTGCCAAGAAATATAGCTATCGCATACCGAAATTTTGCTTGGGAATATAATGTTAACCCTTCCCTCCCACTCCAACCCTGGTCCTGAGAAGACCCCCATATAGCCAGTCCTGATAGAGTTAAGAGTGACCTAGCTTGTATTTGTTTGGGGATGTGAGGTGACTTACCCGTAGTATGTCCGTTATGGCCAGAGCAGCTAGGCTGGGGTCCAGATCGCTGTATATCGCACACCACATGGTTCCAACACTTGCAAATAACACCAGCAATGAACCAAGCATGTCCTAGAATGGCATTTCAAACCAGATGAAACATGGGCAGGAAATCAAATCTTCAGGTGTTTTTTTTTTATCAAAAAGTCTACTTACTTTAAGCTTTCGAATGATACATGAGGTTTTGAAATTGGATAGTCGTTACTCAACTTACATAATTTTGATTACAATATTTCAGATACAAAATAAAGTCTTGATTTCAAAGTAACATTTTCTTAAGACGAAAGCCTGCTGATTCTGCCGAAATGGTATAGGGTCGAGTCGATCCACTTTTGTATACATCAGGAGTGACAATGTAGCTATTTTGTGGTTTCGTTGCGCAACAATATCAGATAAAACTACGAAATCTTTGAAGTGGCAAACCTCGAAAAAATGACCACAAATATATTTTACGGATGGAATTTCAAGAAATGAGGAATGAGAGTTAACCAAAATATAAAAATGGCCAAAATCCACCCTGATACAAAGTTTGCCTGCTTTTCAATCAAATGAAAACGACAAAAGATTGCTTTCAAATTGTACTTCCCTAGATTCACCGTTTAAAGAATGAAACAGTAAAAAAACAAGTCAGGTGTGTTTACAAACACAAATGCCCCGCAACCGTGACTGTTCCCATGACATAACACCACTCTTTTAACATCAACTTACATGTACCTTGGTCACATGGAACGTTCATTAATTGACAGCATTAGTGTCTTCTGTAGGTTTTATATGAATTAATCCCTAATCCCTATGATCTCAGAATAAATACAAGGTTTCGATTGTTTAAGCCACTGTGACCTTGACCCTTGACCTTTTGGCCCCAAATGCAAAAGGCTTCTTAGGATTACCAAGGACAATCCACAAACCAAATTTGAAGTTCATATGTAAAGTATTTCTCAAGTTATCGCGCTGACAAAATTTCTATTGTTTCAGCCACTGTGACCTTGACCCTTGACCTTTTGGCCCCAAATGCAAAAGGCTTCTTAGGATTACCAAGGACAATCCACAAACCAAATTTGAAGTTCATATGTTAAGTATTTCTCAAGTTATCGTGCTGACAAGATTTGTCCGGACACACACACCCACACACCCATACTTGTTTCACATGACTAGTGTGGACTTTCCATTGCTTTCGTGTAGTTAAGAAAAACCAGTGAAAAAACTCATTTTTCTCAAACTGTGAAAACTCTTTCAACCCAATTTTTTTTCTATGATTCCCTTTAGTGTTTCTCTTCATTCTGCTACAGATAAACCTAACCCAAAAATGCCTCTAAACCTGTTTTCCAGAAATGGGGAAACACTGTGTGGACGTGGGGTAAGTCCACACAACGTCGGTGCTACCTACATTATGTGGACGTCTTTTGTTCGGAAGTCCACACTGCGTATGTAAGACAAACTCACCCACACACCCACCCACCCACGGAAGGACAAGGCGGAAACAGTATGCCCCTTCGGCTTCGCCGCGGGGCATAAAAATGTTTGTTTTTGGAATGGAGAGAACATCCTCGGTAAAAATCTATGCTGAGATTTGAAAGATGATCATTTTTACCATTCTGACTCCAATCCAGCGATAGGTGCACCACAGATAGGTGAATGCCGTCGTGTTGGCCGTCACTCTCTGCTGGGCTACATCCAAGAAACGTCGCTCAGCTCTGATAACAACAAATGTACAGTGAATACACAATAGATCTCAGTTGCTGTATTAAAAATTATTTGTAAACACTACAGAAAATTGGTAAAAAATTATAAACACTATAGAAAATTGGTTGCATCCATTCGTCTTACTAGAACCGAGTCAGACACAAATTAAATACACATCAGACAGTGTGAAACATATTGTGAATATTCACAAGTATTCACAAATATTCACTGTATAAGTACAGTGGCAAAATTGATGGTAAATATTGTTTGACCTTTTCGAGTTTGAAAGTGTAATTTGAAAATGCTCTTATTTTAACCAGAATTAATTTCCTTGGCTGAAATTTGGACTTAATATTATCCCTTTTCTAAGACTCCACCATTTGCGACGGATCAACCCACCTTGAAAATTCCTAGTTTTTGAGTAAAATCCACATATCTATTTCATGATAACCTTGTGGAAATTGCCCTGTGGAGACGTATACAGTCTTTTGTTCCCTATTGTGTGCATGTCTCCAGAGGGCATGGTGTATCAGATTAAAACAAATTACGAGCATGATTTAACCTGTGAACATTTCTGTGAACACAGGGACACCAAGTACGCTGAAAAAAGGGACTATTTGGGAGCGTAGGCCATAAGTCTAATAACAACCAAACCACTACAACATACCATTATTTATTGCTAATCCAATCCAGCAAGTCTTTTTTGGTTGAAATATTATTTGAAGAGCTAACTTTCAAAACGCGACATAACTGGGGTTTTTTTCGCATTCCAACTTTTGATAGTTAACTCTTGATTAATTACCTGTTTGACTGCATTGTTATTGACTGAGTATCATGTGTTTACGATTGCTCTACTAATGAAATGTCTTTGTTTCATTTAATTGCTTTTGAGTATTCACAGTATGCTTTGAGCACCTGTCATTGACAAGCTTAAGCTTATTATGGCTTCAATTCATTGCTTTGTCATTTACAATTTTGCTTATTTGGTTTTCCAATACATAATTTATATTTATTTTCCTTTAATGTACATGCTATATAACAGCATGTATACTATTATTGGATTCCATCACGTTGATAAGAAATATTTATATACCTTTTTGGAACCAAAAATATTGTAGCGACTCAGCTTTCGATGTCATCACGACATCTTCATTCAGCGTAGTGACTTAAACCACTCCGGTCATGTGACCACCTTTTGGGCGATCACATATCAGCAGGTCATCGTAGATGGCAGGCAGGTCGTATCCGGTGTCTCTGTTAAGGGTTGGCTTTTGTGTCCTGATTTCGATTGCTTCGCGTATTTTAGTTAACACAGACACTGCCTGCCATCTACGACGACCTGCTGGTTTGTGATTGCCCAAAAGGTGGTCACATGACCGGAGTGGTTTAAGTCACTACGCTGAATGAAGATGTTGTGATGACATCAAAAGCTATGTCGCTGCAATATTTTTGATTCCAAAATGGTATCTAAATATTTCTTTCATGCTATATGAATTGTATTTTGTTCATGGTTGGATATAGATAAATGTTGTATTGAACTGAATTGAATTGAATAACAAAAATGAAAAATGTAAATGGTTAGGTACAACAAACGGTATGACAGCTGTCTCTAAAATTTGTTTTCACTTAGTTCTTATATTGCGTTTAACTACATGTATATTAAAGGGAATATACATCATTGGCTTTTGCTGTAATTTTCAGAAATGAACTATTTGAGGGGTTAGTATACTTTAGATCAAATATTGTTACACTCACATGTTTGAAGTTTTGTGTTCGAAAATGCTGGAAAAACCAAGAAAAACAAAACTGTTCAAGTAGTCTGGCTCCCTGACTCCCCTAAATATAAAATGAATCAATTTACAGATGCCAGAAATTGTAAGGTAAGGGTACCAGTCTAGCTGGCCTGCACCCGTTCATGAACATGTAACCAATAGCAAACAAAATTTGGACTGAATTAACGGTGGTCGGCCGACCACCGCTGGAAATTTTTACAAAAATACCATTTTCTTGAAAATGACTTCACACCAGGTGCCATAATTTTACAGGATGCTTTAGACTGTCATTTACCAACATCCTATTAAGGTATTTCGCAAAAACTTTGTAGTTTTGTTTTTCGATGTTTGCAAATGTTGTATATTCCCTTTAACAGCTGTGGAAAGTGACTATGGGCAGCCAGGAGAGAGCTGGATTCTGTAAGTGAATAAAATGGCATTTATCGCATTTTGGAAATAAACTCTTCATACGATGAAAGTCCAACCTGTAAGCTCTGATCGTGGAGAGTCCGTCACATGTTTCGGTCAGGTGGGCTACCACCGGTGACTTGGAGATGCTCTGCAGACGCTTCAACTCTCTGGAGGCAGAAACGTAACGTTAAAAACTGTTGGAAGCTCTCAGTTTTGTCTGGGTTAGTAATTATGTCCATCAGGTAAAAGTGAAACGTTATATTATGCAGAGCTTGTTTTTGGATAACCCTAATTCTGTAACTGGATGCTATATTAACATTTTGATGGAGCTGATAATTAAGAACAAACATTTGCAATGCACAAAATGTTCAGGTCTTTTTTGCGAAGGCTAGTAAGAAAGGTAATCATGTACTTTTCAGGACATATCCATTTTTTACAAGTTTCGTTCAAAAATGACTTCTGCAAATGACAGTCAATTCTAAATTGAATTTTGCAGCCTCAAGCATTCTTTTTTCTTCAAACCAACTCATGTTGTTTTGTAATTTTGAAAAGTTCTTTTGAAGAGTTCGTTTGTAGAAAATGCGACTTTCATCCCTTTTTTGCATTCAGACACATTGTCACCATTTTACTTTTCTTTTGGGTCATGCAGGTTGTCTTCGTCCCCGTTTTACCCATAATTTCCCTCATAAATCCAAAGCCTGCCCCTTTTTAAAAAAAGAATTGAGCTTATTGATATTCAACTTGGTATCTTTGCCGAACGACTTAGATGATGCCAAACACGCGGGGATTTTTTCCTGCTTGTTTCATCGCCAAATGTTCAGGTAGGATCCAAAAAGTAAGTGTCTTTTTGTTCTCTTGTATGGAACAGGTCCTTCACTGCACCATTACCAGAGGCCAGTGTTGTAGTACTCGTACTCGAGTACTACTCGAGTACCTTTTTGGGAGTACTCCTACTCGGATGTCAAAGTACTCGTACTTTGTCGAAAATTGTCGAAAATTGTACTCGATCATTAAAGTACTTGCACTCGAAGAGCAGTACTCGGGGGGAAAAAATGGTATATAGCTTCACTTTACCCTTGTTTTATCAATACGTTCAGTTTGAAATGGTTGATTAGCTGGTGGAGAAACCGAGATTTCCCGAGCTTCCTCTGTGCACGTCCAGACAAACACCGGTAACAGCTTGCCGTGAGATGGTCTGTATATCGGTCTGACTGGGCCTGGGCCAATTACACACAATGAACCATTTGTCGTGTGGCCGTATTCGGAAATGCGAGTACTCGTACTCGTACTCGGAAGTACAAGTACTTGTACTCATACTCAGAAGTACAAGTGCTTGTACTTGGAGACCCGTTCTTGTAATCGGATGTACTCGTACTCGGCAACCTAAGTACTCGGCAGTAATCGTTACTCGGAAAAAAAGTACTTGACAACAACACTGCCAGAGGCATCACAGGTACTCTCGAACAGCTCTCACTGGAGTCGTGAGCTCCATAGCATATGTACAAACCTCCCGCTTGCAATGAAGTATTTCTGCAGACCAATGAAGCCCAGTAAGACCGGCAGGAAGGCGACGGCAAACATTGGCATGACGATGATGTTGATGATAAGAGCCGAGATACAGGACAGAAGATAGAAGAGAACGTTGTCCGCTGTCTCGATGATGGACTGAGATTGATCAAACAGAGAACTCATATGAACCTTTAATCCATCATCAATACAGATGATACAGATGATTCCAAATACAGTGCGCCACCAAGAGATTAACACTGCGATTTAATTTTTTCACAGTTCATTGGGGGGGGGGGGGCGATCAACAAATTCACCATGGCATGGGACACATAAAGTTGTTAGCTTGTCCAGTAATAGTTTCGTAAGGGTATGCTTCAAGTACCTTTTCTTCTTCTTCTTTTTTTCAAGATGATGTTTTAAGTCAGGCAGAAAAATGTGTTGCCCTGATATATCAAAAGGTTCCTCAAGTTGTCTACTTACATTCGTTCAAGTCGGCCATGTTTTTGTGGACTGTAAACTAAAAGTGTACATCTGTGTACATGGTAAGGACACAGGCAAAATAATGTAAAGAAACAAACAGCAACTTGTCAAAAGATTAAACACAATCAAGCCAGCGTTAATCATCACTGCATGACAATGCATAAGTAGCAGTTTCAGTCCAATAAATGAGGAATGGCTCAAACTTGACGCTGGCTATTTTTAAGCAGAAAAAGTCAGCATAACAAATCTTGGCCCTAAAAACACCGCCACTTTTGTTGTGACACCCTCTGCTATATAAGATTTGCAACCAGGCCACTCCAGCAAGCAAGTGCGGCGGTCAAAGTGGGAGGTTGAGGGTTCAAGTCTCACCCGAGTATGCTTGTGAATTTGTTCACGCAAGCCCTCAGACAACAGTAAGTATACCGAGTTTCGAATGATGAGGGGCAAATCCCGACATTGAAATAACTTCTCCATAATGCAAATACAAGATCTAATAAAGTCTCACCCGGTCAATGATGGCGGTATCACAGGAGAATCTGTTCAGAATCCGGCCCACGGGTGTGGTATCAAAGAACCTACCAAAAATGTACACACAAAAATTCAAAACTTCAATCACAATCATATCATGTATAATAAATTTTTAAAAACGGACCGAATGTTGAAACATTCTACAACTTTATAAGGCCATATTTCAACCCAAATATTGAAAATGTACATGAAATGTTAGTACTTTTACAGCCATAGTACTTTTACAGCCATTGAAATAGTCTTTTTGGCCGTGCACGACAAGATGGTATTTAAAAAGCCCACATATCCACCAGGACTGGTGCTCAAGGCGCTACGTTTTGTTCATCATTATTACCCATGCTCATTGAGCCCATGAAACATTCCAAATACCATCTCAGCTCCCTGGGGAGTATACATCTCGATGTAGCCTGTTAGGTGCAAGGCAGCTAATTCAATCACAATAACCATATCTGCCCTCACAGGTAATGAGTGACAAAGTGCCTTGCCCAAATCACATGTGACTCTCTGTCGGCCAATCAAGACACAGAATCTGTGAGGTGTCCAACCAACTCACCTCATTGGAGCTCTGATGATGTTGCTCAGCATGCCTGCGTGAAGATGCTTAGCGGCGGCTATGATGGAGTAGACTAAGCTGGAGTTGGCTAGACTGGCAGCCAAGATACAACCAATGACGATGACGGTGTAGCCTGTCAGATAGGGCAGGGTCATGGACTCAGCCTGAAAACACAACCAGAAAAGTAATCATGATTATCTCTGTACAAAAGTATAAAGATGAATAAAACTAGTGCAAACTGTTAACCAACTGGATTTAATTGGCCAGAAATATACAAATCAACAAAATTAGCGGGTCTAATGTTTCCGTCCTTATCAGGACCAATGAGCTTATCAAAATACACACGAACGTGTGAGGTTCGTCCTGGCTTAGACCAAATTAAGTTCTTTGTTTCTCAAGACAAGGGAGGGGCTGTTTCTACACAAACATACAGTGTACACAGTGGCAAGTACCCAAGGCAGTGACTGAGTGGACTGAGTCACTTGGTCAAGGGGGTAGGGGTTTTGGCTACACAAAAATATGGGAGCATGGGTTTTGTATATAAACATATGGGAAGGGATTTTGTACACAACCATATGGGAAGGGATATAAGTCCCGCCCATTTCAGTCACTGCCAGGTTGACTCGAAGATTGACACCCTATCTAATAGTAGTGTCTATGCAAGCTAGAAGATGTCCTAGAGACTGGGTCAAGTGGTGCGTGGCATTTAGTCAGGTGATCAATACACGTGATTTCTGGCCCACGCTGGGCAAAGCTCACTCGTCGCAGGGGTTAAAAGTCAAATGACAGTGGTACAGAAACAAACAAGGGGACACACAAGCATGCAGGGGTGGAAGAAGAAACCACAGAAGAGGGATTAGATTGGGGGAAGGACTGGATAAAGATCAAAGGGAATGAACAACAGTGTTCTATAGTGCTGACATAAAACCCACTGTAACTAAATTCTCAAATTTGTAAACCAACACAATTAAGGTGTTGATAAATCCAGCCTCAACCTATATGGCATTGGAAGAGCCCAATCTGAGCACGCATTCAATTCTATCATGACGGCCTCCTGCAATGGCGAAAGCATTGCAGTTAAGCTTGATTCCCTTGTTAATTGCTATAGCCATGCTTTGACTGGAGGTGATTGATATGACAGCTGTACCTACCAGTTACCTCTTTAGTCAGTTGATGGAATTTGACTAGTCACAGTGCTTACACAAATGTAATCTGACTGTTAATAGGTCCCTCTCAATGAGGAACTGAAACTGCGTATTTTACGCAATCAAGCACGATTGCGCAGTGTTGAAAATGTTCCAAACACGCGCGCTTGTTGCTTGAAATGTGTTCAAAATACGATGCAGCTGATGCAAGTTATGCAAGTTGATGCTCAAAATGCCAATGCACGTGGCTGGTCAGTAGGAAATGACTTCATTAAATGACATCATTTCCTAGGAAAATGACGTCATTAAATGACGTCATTTCCTACAGACCAGCCAGAGAGACCTATACTAGCCTGAACGCAAATGCATGGCACGCGAAGTGGAATAAATTTGTCTGTCTGTGTATGAATAGGAGCACTCCTAGATTTGGGGGAAAAATGACTTTGGTTTTTGTTCTCAACAACAATCAGCATATTGCATGGCAACATCACAACGAGTGCGTACACAAATATTTAAAACAGGTTTTTAGGGGGTGGGGTGGGGTGGAGATGGGATGGGGCTGATTATTAGCTGACCTCTACACCCGTCTGCTTGGCCTGTAAGCCGGCCGTTGACCAACTGGACAGCCAGAAGTTGGCACTCATTCTCAGCGACTCTCTCATCAGGTAGGTGGCTATGATCAAAGCCATAGCCTTCAGCCCTATAGCTCGCAGGTAGTACAGGTACACCCTGTACGACACTGGGCCGATCTCACGGTCTTCAGCCTGCGTGAACGTCCCGTCCTTGGATCCTTGAATGATAAAATGAATGTTTAGAAGAGATGATACAAGAATTTTACCCTCAAATTAAAAGTATTTCCTGAAGAAGGTTTTGCCCTGCACCGCTCACATTATGCATTACATGAACTACATGCGGCAGTGGTTTTGAAAATGGGGGGGGGGGGATAATCAGCTGATCAAAAAGCAACTGGCTGTTGAAAATTTGAAAAGTGGCGGGGGGAGGGAAAGCTGAGCTAGACCTAGTTTGATGCTTGGGGCGCACTTGATCCTGTTTTTCTCTTTCATTGAGTACACAAACCTGTTAAGAGAAATAAGACAAGTGGTTCATTACTGGACCAAGCCCAGTATAATGTGGCTTTCTTAGATGTAGGTAGATTTCCAGCACTTAACTGGCTCGTCACTCGTCACTCAAATTCTGATGGGAGGCAGGCCTGCTCTGGACAACAGTTGCACATACATAGGGATAGCCTGACTGTTTATCAAGGACAAACTATTGCACTCCCACCTGTTTTATTAGTATGTGCGAACATATTTAAGGTCGTCAACTGATTGATTGATTTATTTATTTATTTATTTATTTATTATCCACATCCAACAGCAGAACAAACCGCCAATTACAGGACTGGTTAAATAGCCATTATCTTAGTAGGGGGCTCATGAATATGAACCCGGGAATTCCGGGGAAAGCCACAACAGACTGGGCTTGGTCCAGTAATGGATTTGTGACATATGCCTGCGCACCTCGCCCAAACACCTCTAGTCAAACGATGGTCACAAGCCCTGGCTTGCCATTGTATTTTATGATGCCCGTGGCTATTAATAACCAGTGATGCAACCGTGCCCCAGGCTCCGGTTCCAATTAGTCAACCAGAGTAGTCCATCGTTCGAGCAAAGTTAGTTAAACTATGTAAAGTTCACAATGGTTCGGTTTTTTTAGGCCATTAATGGCAGACCTCTTGGATATAAAACTAAGGTAGGGGACTATACAGGGTGGATAAAAAATACCGAAACGGACATATTATTACTAATTGGAACAGAAGTAGGGCACATGTGAATCAAAGGGAGATATCCTCTGTTAGGGTTGAATCTCCTCTTTAAAATGACACCCTTATCATGTCTTTACATTCACGGTTGACTGAGCAGTGACCAATTTTATGAAAGGGTCTATTTAGAGAATTGCGTCACTTTTCATGGTGAAATCTCTTTTTTTTACCCCACCTGCCTTGATTGGCAACCATAGCCTTTCACTCTGTGACAAATGACACCACAAAAACCACAATTGAAAAGTGGCGCAATTCTCTAAATATACCCTTTCATAAAATCGGTCACTGCTCAGTCAACCCTGAATGTAAGGACATGATCAGGGTGTCATTATAAAGAGGAGATTCAACCCTAACAGAGGATATCTCCCTTTGATTCACATGAGCCCTACTTCTGTTCCAATAAGCAATAATATCTTGGTTTCATTTTTTTTTATCCACCCTGTATAGTAAGAGGGGAATAATAAGAACAGCAATCTAAGCCTGATAGTCGTCAAAGCATCTGACCTGGTTTACTCTTATCCTCCCCCTCCATCTGCTGCATGGAGACCTGCTTGAGTAGATACTGTCTCTCTTCTCTCATCGTCTCCGATTCCACCTCTGACTCAGTCTCCGACTCGCTGACCAGATGCACCGCCCTCTTCCATCGGCAGTACAGCTCAGGGTCCAGGCGGGCAATTTCTTGTCGGGTCCCCTGCCTGCTGATCTTGCCATCCTTCATCACTATGATCTGTTGGAAAAGTAAACTTTACTGTCATCGTAAGCTTGCACATGCCATTATTTGTAGGAGTACCTTCACTTGCAATTACCACTGTTGATTCCTGTACACTCATTTAAGTTGAATCAAATTAGGTTTTGCCCTTCACTGACGTTTAAACACTGTTTACTCAGTGTGTTACCTCCCAAGCGAAAGTTGGAAAAAATCCCTCGGGTGGGACTCGAACCCACGACCTCCTGCTTTCTAGTGCAGATGTCTTACCACTAGACAACCGAGCTAGCAGGATCGGTTGGCTGGTTTGAATCTGATGTACATAGCAGCGGGTACCGCATTTACTATTAGTAAGATGGAATTTTAATCGTATTAAGTTGAGTTAGAATATAGACAGATCCGCTTAGCCCTGCCCCTTGAAGTTTTGACCACTCACAGCTGTGATTTATGCAGCCCTGTTGTCAGCTCCGTGTATTTGGAGGGCACAGTACCATCGGGGGGGGGGGGGGGGGGGGGGGGGGGGGGGACACCACAAGAAAAAAGAAACACACACACAAACATATAATTTGTTATGTTTATGGTTTTGGTTGGAGATAAAATAGAATGACCGACAAATTGCACCAACAAATTATAAAATGACCTAAATCATGTTTAGCAGGGCTGGAGGTTTTAATCCAAGAGATTTTAATGCATTGGAACGAGGCAATGGACCGATCCAGTAAGCACCGCCCCATGGTATTCTGACCAATCACAGCCGTGATTTATGTCCGACATGCATGCACAAGAGTCCGACATGCGTGCACGCGCGTATGATGCGCGCGGTAGGAAAATGCAGTGTGGCATTGGAGAGGAGCACATGTTAATTTGCCCACGTGCGCAGTGGGAGGGGCTTAATGGATCGGTCCATTGGGAGTTTTTAATAATGATTATTTAAGTGAGCAAATTTTGTATGCAGGCAGCGAATTACACTGCTACTTTGAAGATTTAATGGAGAATAAACCGGGATGAGCTACAACTACTCAAAAGTTGGTTCAGAGTTATGTTTATCTTACGTGGTCTGCTTTGTGCAAGCACTGCAGATGATGTGTGATGAGAATGACTGTCTGGCGAGACCTTCGCATCATTCTCACGATGCCTTCTTCAAACACCTGCGTGCCAATGCGCATGTCCAGAGCAGACAACACATCATCCTGCACACAATTTTTCAAAAGGGCACTTTCAGCAATATTAGCAAAATGTGACCTATTTTTTTTTGAGAACTGAGGTATTTGTATCTCTGAAAAATGACTGAAATGGTGGTAGCATGATAAAGAATAGGGACAATGAGACACTCATCAGTCTTTAGGAAACTCAAATGAAGACAATAAAAGCAAATATAAGAACCTTGCAAACAATACCAAGTAATATATGAATCAAATTGGGCACTCACCATGACCGCAATGCTGCGTTCCGAGTAAATAGCCCTAGCGATACTGACTCGTTGTTTCTGCCCACCACTCAGATTCAGTCCCTTCTCACCAATTTCAGTCAAGTCCCCGGCCGGAAGGATCTCGATATCGGTCTGCAGGGCGCACGCCTTGAGAACCTTCTGATACCTGAAGGAGAGAAACAACAGGGAGGAGAATGTGAGACACAGCATGATGAAGAAAGGCAGTGTTGTAGTCAAGTACTTTTTTCCCGAGTACGAGTACCTCTGAGTATAAGAACGGATCTCCGAGTACGAGTACTTATACTTTAGAGTACAAGTACGAGTACGAGTACTGTAATTCCGAGTACGAGTACTTGTATTCTGCATACGGCCACACGGCCAATGGTTCATTGAGCGTAATTGGCCCAGGCCCAGTCAGACCGATGTACAGACCCAATCATGGCTAGCTGTTAAGTGTCTCTGGACGTGCACAGAGGAAAATCAGAAAACTTTGATTTCTCTACAAGCCAATCAACCATTTCAAACTGAAAGTATCGATAAAATTAGGCCATGGTGTATATATAAAATCAAGCTATACCATTTTCCCCACGAGTACTGCTATTCGAGTACGAGTACTATGATGATCGAGTACAATTTCGACCTGTCAAGTACGAGTACTTTGCTGCCTGAGTACCGTCATTTCGAGTACGAGTACTTACACATTCGAGAACGAGTAATTCGAGTATTCGAGTAGTACTCGAGTACGAGTAACGAGTACTACAACAATGAAGAATGGTGTCTCTAAGGTTCAGGCATGGGCTCCGTGCACAAATACCCTCTCAATGGTAAGGCCATTGCAAACTCCTGGTTAGACGTGTGATAACGGCCCGTACTGGTGGCAAATACCATGAATACTTGCCAACAAAGACCCCTTTGTTGGCAAGTAGCGGCTTTCAGATCTGCAGTGTTCTGTGCCCGATCTGGTGTCGAAGTCTGTCAAACCAGCTAATCAAATTTTTGAATATTCATGAGTCTATGTTTTTGGTCTTTATTATTGAAATCTGATAAGTGATAACTACATAACCATGTTAATACCGAGCACAATATCTTTAGCTAAAAAATTAACAATGAAATGTCGGTTTTGTTTCATTGGTTCGGGATCAAATCTGTCTAAAACTTTTTAATAAAAGCCTAATTAAAAACGAAATTTGGGTAAACGGTGTTATCCTTGAAATTTGACGTTGATTTCCTGGGTAAATACTTATCTACGACTACAAAATCTGCACAATACCATCTGTGACATTCTGAAGTATTTATTTTTTTTAAATTTTGGAACAATTATATCTTAGATAAGGAGTAGTTTGGCTTATCATTTTATGAATATTCCCGTTTTAGATGTCGTGCAACAAAATCGCACAGTGGCACATCTGGATAATTCACGATTACAAGACAACGGGTATTAATGCCCGTTATCACACGTCTAACCAATTAAAGCAAGTCCGCTCAATGCATTTTGTACCAGAGCTCAGAACAGTCATTTATCCTTGTGTGAAGGATCTGTGGAACAACCAACAACTGTCACCAAGCACTTTGCTCCTTCACAGCTGTGCATTCCTTCCCCTTTCAGCATCGCCTCCCCGTAAGAAGAGCCCAGGCTCTGCTGGATCATGACAGGAGCTTCCTACCAGATGCTGTAAACATCTGGAATAGGCTTCCCCTGATGTCTCGGGGCAGTCTTCAGAGGAGGGGGCTCAGTGTTTTAAGGAGGCTGTGCACCGTTTTCTGATTGGCCATACATAGTCCCCGGCTTCATGTTTCATAGTTCAGATTAGACATAGCACATTTCTAGGCTTTTTGTCTTTAAAGTCTATTAACGCTGCTGTGCGTGCTCCATGTGATTTTTTATCACCCACCAGCGATGTTGGTCATGATGGACCATAGCTGGCGGGATTGGGATGCGTATAAAAAAAGGAGAGTTGGAGTAGACTGCTTGAGAGACAATCAAATGCATAGCTGACGACGCCTGATGGTCACAGAGCTTTGCGCAACTTCAGAATAAAATAATTTGTGCGATATTCCCTATCGAAGTTATTACGTATCAGTCATTGGCTCAAGCAAAGGATCACTCTGATGCCAACATGGCCACCACTCACTACGGCCTCATCATGTATTTTCTGAGCATTTTTTGTGACTTACATTTGTATGATTACAGTCCACAGTGAAACAGTGGAACATCGTGAGGTAGCATTTATTGACCAATTTTCCGCATGATGTTATTTTGCTTTGAATACACGTGTGCCAGTGGCACACTTGGATAAGTCCAGTGACCTCGCTCGCTATGGGTATGAGCCCTGCCGTGGCCATGCATGTTGTTCCTTTGAGTAAGGCGCTTTACCTCAATTACTCCTCTCAACCCAGGTGTTAAATGGGTACCGGCATTATTCAATGCTGGGAAGGTAACAGACTCGCTGTGGAGGAGGTATGGCGATCCCCCCCCCCCCCCAGCAGCATATGAGTCTGGCCCAATCGCTAATGAAAAAGAGATGGGCACTCCGTTCCTGTGAACACATGGTATGCCCCTTTACCTTACCTACCTTTTTACTAAATAACTTGGCATAACTTGTCAACAAAATATCCCCCAAAACAGTCACCTGGGCGATACAAAAACAATTGGCATCTTATCTTCACGAATGCAAAACTCTAACATGTCTAAACTTTAAAGGCCTTTTGCTCAGTACTTTTCTTGTTTGATATGCCAATAAAAGTAAACTTCAAAACAGCTATAACTTGTCAACAGAATGTCCAACTGAAGTGTTACAAACGATATTGTGGGGAAAATTTTGTTCTCTTTTCTAATACCTGCAAACCCTGATTTTAAGCTCTGCCAATTGTCTCATTTTGCCAGAAGGCCTCACCCATTTCCCTGCTGGATGACCAACCTTTTGGCGTGGTAGGGCTGACCAAACAGGATGTTGTCCCTCAGTGATCCATTAATGAGCCAGGGCTTCTGGGCAGCGAATGCTATGGTATTCTTCTTCCTAGACCAGACACAAACAGATGCGAGTCTAGTGAGCTTTTAATCAACTATGTTGCATAGTTGTTAAGTTTATAAATAAATCAGTCCATCCCTCCTATTGAACTATCGCAGTAGAATCGTGTCAACGCAGCTTGTGAAATATTGTCCAATTACATGTGGACTTGTGGACGCGGAACGCGCAAAATCTGAGACAAACAAAAATTAGTGTACAAAAACTCCATAGGGTTGTCTAACGGGCGTGGCTAACTCGCAAACGGCGAGAGGTCAATTCCAACCAGGGCCGGATTAAGTGTTCCATAGGCCCTAGTCACCAAGTGGTCCATAGGCCCTGGCTACTCTGCCCTATAGGCACCGGCACCAATTTCATGTTGATGCTAAGCTGTACTAAGCAAGCCAGTCCAACTGGAAGCTCTCAAAACCTGTTGGCACCGTGCTTCAGAATGACAAACATGTAAATTGTATACATACATATACATGTAGCTATATACTTCATATAGCGTCAGTTGATGAAATTGAAAATTATGGGAGAGACGGCTAAAAACTTTTCTTGTATGTGTATGGGCGTACGTGTTTTATGGTACACTGCAGTATTTTTGAAGGTAGATACCCTCAAATTTTTCATAAACTCCCAAATTTTTTGTAGGCCCCCAAATTTTTCGTAGGCACAGCTAGTGCCTAGTGTGCCTATTGGATAATCCTGGTCTGCCTCCAACTGACAAATAAAACAAAGTCATCTTAGCATTCAAAATCAGTTTTGTGAATGTTGTTAAAGAGTAAGGAATCATATGCCTACATAAAGCAGGATTGACTGGCTGTGACTACTTATGTGGCTGTTGAAAGAAACTTTCCTTCAGAAGCACGTAGCCCTACAATCTGAGCTTAACAGCTCTTCTTGTAATGGTTAAACCTCAGCCGATTCAGCTGATAAGATTCAAAATTCAAATTATAGTAAAGGAGGAGTGCTTACTTTCTGAATTTGACGGAACCAGATAGGGTCCTCATTTCTCCCAGAATGGCTTGGCCGAGCGACGATTTACCGCCTCCGAGAGGCCCAATAATCACCGTCAACTTCCCTGCCAACAAATATCTTCAGGGTTATGATTTTCTTAAACTAAATAAATTAACCTTATTTATAAACATTCAACAAAACACTCTCTTGGACTCCATGTACAAGTACTAACTCAACAATTTCAAAGGGAGAATTGAGGGAGACCACTGGGCAGGACTTCTGAACAAATTACTGACGGCACCCGACGCACTCAGGTGAAGACGCTAAAGGTTTGTTTGGTTCAAAATACACTTAGTCGTGCATACTACTATGTGCAGGGCGAGTCAAAAAAAGCAGAGCCCAAATCCCAACAAATATATTTCATATTTTAAAAATTTGTAGCGCCAAACATAATAATGACTGGAAAGTCAATTTCATAAGCTATGTTTAGATGAAAACAATTCTGAAATTCGTTTAAAGAATATCACCATTTAAATTAATGACCCTAAAACCTGTTTCATCCAAAAGAAAAAGCAATTTATTGTGTATTCTGATGATTTGGAACAACAAAGAATATGACACAGAATACTTGTTTCAACAACTGTCAACAACTGTAGTACACAATACCTTTATTAACAACCTTGATTAAGCTAACAATAATGACTGATAAAATCCAGGTTTGTTTTAAAGTCAGACCATCAGAAGGACTTTGTTGAACATTTTAAACTTTTAAACTGAGGTTTTATCGCTGGTGATGTTTGAAGACAATTGTGAGGACGATTCTTGAAATCACATTTTTGGACGAAAGAGGGTTTAGGGTCATTGTTTTTTAAATGGTGATATTCTATGAACGGATTGAGCAATATCAGTAATTTTTTTCATCGAAAAGTAGCTTACGAAATTGGCTCTCCAGACATTATTATGTTTGGTGCTTTATTATGTTTGGTGCGAACGGTGTTTGCCGGCAGGATATTCATTCCCCTCTTAGTGGGCAGTAGATGAAGAACATCAAAAACAAAGATGGCAGACTTAGGTCCATTCCGAAAACTTGCATTAATTTTTGTGCATAAACTTGAAAGCACTCACTAATTTTCTATTCATTCCGCGTTTCAATACGGCGACTGCCATCTTGAATTTTTGCCCAGTTGCACTCCACACGCATTTGAGTGTTTGTAATCGGCGATCAGAGAACACTGTCCATGGGTCACTCGAGAATGGGGTTTCAAATACACCCTATACGTCAAGGTGGATGCACAGTGGTGTGTCTCTTCCAATGGGCTCGATCTCAAAAGTGCCATCTATTAGTCACGCACGGAGTCAATACGCATTGGCTTTCAAACTTTGTCTATTTGTGTACTTTATGCATTCCAGTCATTAACTGATAAGATGTACAAAAGACGTAAATTGCTACCAGTAGATTATTCCTAATAATGATAGAAATCTAAATCTCAACAATACCAGTGAAAACGCCATGAATTATAGTTAAGATCTGTCATGGGCTCAATGCGTACACCCTTAACGGTAAGACAGGGTGAGTTGGGGGAGACCACTGGGAGAGACATTTAAAAGCAATGCCGACGATGCCTGATGCGCAGACAAAGACGCTATGGCTCTGTGCACATTCAGAATAAAATTACTTGTGCGTACTTTGTGCTACATTCGCGTGAACCAATAGTTGTACACAGCGTGTCCTATTCAAGGGGTTCTCGAAAGTGGCCAAAGAGCGCCCTCTCTTGTTTGCGCACATGCGCCCCTAGTCAGCAGGGACACAAGATTAATATAACACCCTATCTGGACACTGATTAGCCAGTCACACACACTCCTGTCGCCATCTCCATTTATTGCCATCCAACTATCACTTCAGGGCGCTCCGAAAAAAGTAAATGACGTCAACATGTTTTTGTGTGAAAATATTTCCAAATCTGTTTAGAGAACACTGAATAATGGATGTAACGATTTCGTTTGAGTATTTTTCAGATATTAAGTCGACTCAAAACATTACCTGCAGGAATCTCTACGTTGATGTTTGATATAACTGGCACATTGCGGTCAAGATCCCAGGAAAAACTACCATTCTCAATCTGCAGAGAAAAAAAAAGATGGGGGAAAATTGTACCCAAATCAGTTATTTTACTAGCTTTAAAGAGAATTGGGACCACCGGAAGATATCTGCATCATTCTTTTAGTTATAAGTACCTGTATGTGGCATAAACAAATAAAGTTACTTTTGAAATCTGTTTCTTTTTTTAATGTTCCGCCTCTCTGGGCCAGCTTGTGCCACTTATCTATAAAAGTTGTCACCATTGGAGTTGTGAGTTCTACTTTTGACGTCACAATTCTTATGATATTCCGACGTTAGCCTGCAGGAACCCACGACTGTAGTTAAGTAAGATTTGAGGCTTTGAATGGTGAAAATACCAATGAATGAAAGGTTTGCGAAAACACCATGTGGAAATAATTTCTCAACTAAGAGAATGGTTCTGAAAGGAACCATAGGTATAAACTCGACGTTCCAGTCAGTATGCTCTGACCGTCTTCAGGATTCACGACTGTAGTTTTCGGTTTTGTGGGCACCGCAGAAAAACTAATCCACTAATTTGGCAGATAAAATAAGAAGCTATTTTTTGAGGTGGAATAAGTTTGGACGCATGCTGCACGCCTTCTTAAAGACAAGGAGCGTGCATGTATTTTGGTAAATTATTAGTCGAAGGAGCTAGGAGTGCATGCATACTACCTGAGCGCAAGCCAGGTTCCCCCTCAAATATGGCTCCTAATTAACGTCACCGAATTAGTCTATATATCTGTTCAACCCAAAATTTAAACGCTTTATAAAAATATTGTTTATAGCAATCAACATCTCTCTAGACTTGTTTCATTATCTGTAGCGCTTTATCGGTAGCTCTTTTCTGCGACGATTTGTTACCTTGACAGCCACATTGCTAGGCAACCCATCAATGTTAATCCTCTTATTATCACTGTCTTGATCACTTGGTGACGTGGAGGATGGGGAGGGGCTAGGGATGGAGTCCTTTTTGAGGGGCAGGGGCGTGGCCGGTAAGAGCCCTCCGGTGTCACTCTCGCGACGCTTGCGGGCCAGAAACCGTCGGCTGTGCTTGATGGTCACATCGTCAAAAGTCTGCAATAGAAAAATAAAATGAAAATCAGCAGCGTAACCAGGAGGTGCAGAGTGGCAGATTGCAACGGGATGGAGATTTGAAATGCAAAATCGGGACGATGATTGAAGCAAGTCGGGATGGGGACAATGGGACGAAAATTATATTTTGCAACTAACTCAATAGTTTTTATTGATTGCCCTTTTCCATGAGTGCCATTTTTCAAGAGCAGCCTTTTTTATGTCCTGCAAATGTCATGCCGCGTTGTAGAGCGCCGTCAATTGTCTGAAAGTTTCCAGTTCGAACAGCACCCCCTCCCCCCCCCAAACTAAACCCTGGTTACATGCCTGAAATAGATAGACCTACAGTGTATATGCTTAGGCGTCTCATGTAAGAATCAAATAAGATCAATTCAAAATTTAGAATCTAAATTGCGACTTTTTTAAGGAATCAAATCCCTGTTAAAGTCAATTATGTTGGAAAAACAAGACCAATTTAATTTAAAAAGGGCTACACAGTTCAGAAAAATGATCATTTTAGCAATAACATATCTTTAAGTGTAAAATACATGTCATGGATCCTTGTTCTAAGATGTTGCGAGACTCACATTTACTTCTTCGTATACGGGAGACAATGGTCCTCTGGCATCACCAATGTCATCTGATCCATCCTCAAACCTCTTCTCAACCTCAGGGGCAGACAAAAAGTCCTGGGACACGAATAAAATCATCCCAATTGAGCAAATGTACCGCATCAAGATTGTAACAGTCTATACATGCTTGGTTTGAGTCATATGTGCATACTATACAAAAATGTAATACCAGGCACTAAAACCTGATATTTAAAAAATGGTACTTCAAGAGCTATTATGGTATATGGCCTCTATAGTGGTATTTGTCATTTCCCAAGCTATGAAGGCCAAGTATTATCTAAAGCGTCTGGTTTTTAAACAGAAATAAAGGGACCCCAAAAAAACCCACAAAATCATAGAATCTGTTGCCCACTCTAGCTGAAAGTTATATGGGGATGTGAATAAAATTAAGACTAAACAATCTTCTTAACCTGTTTAGCATGGTTAATATCAGAAGGAACTACAAGTGCTTACAATTGTTTGAATGGGAACGTGGTGGGAAATTTTGGTGAACTAGATATCTCACGACTTTGAAAGGAATATCTTTGGGGGGCGGGGGAGGGGGGTTGAGCGGGCAAAATATATTTTCTTTTAAAGGCATACAGTATCATTTGCATCTATCCCAAAAGTAACCTACCAAATTAATATCAAAAGGCTTACTGGGATCTGTAAGATCATACTGGCATTACCTGTGAAATTACTCCATCTACATGGCTTGCTGTCATTTTTGGAAATTGTGAATTGCGTTTCGTGATCAAACAATTGTGCATGGTTTTTCACCCTTTATTCGAAAAGTGTAATATCCACTGAGCTGAAACTTTTAACAGCCCTGGTTTTGAAAGTTTTTCCTTGGATTTTGAGTGGTGTTATTATCTGCACGAAGTGCAGTGATCCTATTTGCTATAACTAGCCTGCAATCTCCTTGAGCTAATCAAAGCATTGACGTAGGATGCCAAAGCGGAAGGGAGCTTGGAGATGACCGTCATAGCAATGCTGAAGAGAGCAAAGGATGAGAAGGTGACATCGGGAGTCAATGGTTCACCACTCAGGATTGTGTAAGATCCAAATGCCTGCAACCAATGCAAAAACAAATTACTGCTCAACGAAGTCTCTAGAGCATCACGTTCAGTAGCAGAGCCAGAGGGGGCACAGCCTGTGGGCCCCCCCCCCCCCAAATTTTTTTACAGTGTTTTGATTTTTTGGTTTTTTTAGGTATGTCTCGTCTTTTTTCCTGTTTCTTCTGCTGTCAAATTATTTAATCACTTCAAAGACAGGAATTTTCACCCACATAAGACAATATGCCCCGCCTGTTTGTTTGGGTTTCGCCTCCATTTTGGGTGGGCCCTGGAAACATCAAAAAGTTATGTTCCAACTACGCCAGTGATTGTTGAATGCACAAAATTCAGGATCTTTTAAGGAAACACGGGTTGCCACACTTTATGAAACAAAATTCCCTGTATTTTTCCCAAACATTTCCCTGAGAAGTTTTCAAAACTCCATGAGAAATATTTTCACTAACAAGGCTCTAACTAATTGTTATTGTCTGGAGAGGTGTGGAATATATTAACAATGCATAAAAAGCCACCCTAGCCATGTCAACTGGCACACGGAGCTCGTGGCACATGGCATAAGATGCACATGCACCAAACTGGAGGAAACATGCCCTTTGGTGTTTTTTTTATTTTTTCAGAGTTTTCCCTGACTAGAAAAATGGAAATTAATTTTCATTGTCTTCCTTGCATGATTTCCAGAGTGGCTGGGAAACCTGAAACAAACCTAACTCATATAACTTACCGTCAGTGTAACAAAGAAGGGAAAGCTGTAGGTCACAAGACCTGTGGGTTAAGAAAAGGAAAGACTCTTTAATAATAAGCTGGACATAATATAGGAATTTTCAGTCTTGTACTGAAAAGAGATTCTCATACTTATTACTTTTACATTGGGATATGCTGCAAGTAGAGGTGTGCATCGGAACCGGCTACCCAAGTACCCAACCTCTGATGTCAGGAACCGGTTCCACATTATCGGATCGGGTACATGTATTAAACCAACTTTACAAAGTACTTAATAGTAACTTCTCAGACAAGGAAAAAGAAAGGTTCTGATGAATGCTATTTGTGGGGAATTTTCAATGGAAAACCAAAAACAGATTTCACGCTTATGTGCATTTTAATGTGCTACAGAGGATGCTTGCGAAGTTGCAGTTTACTCTGAAAAGCTACAATGCCCTTTAGGCCAAAAAAAAAGTCTCCGGTTTCTGGTATGCGCGCGCGTTGCCGTAGCCATGCGCGTCGGCAAAATGAATTTTTTTTTTTTTCAATGAAAGATAATGTCTCAAAACCGCTAAACTCACTGGTTTGACTGGAATCCTGCTGCTGCACAATTTTAACGTGTTTTTAGATGGGGTTATGATCGAGAATAAGCTTTATGTGACCTCTCTGGACTTTGCACTAAGTTTAGTCGGGCACCATTTGCAGTCATCAGCCGACATTGCATTTGAAGCAAAAAAAATCAGGGTAAAAAAAAAAAAAAGCCGCGTCGCCGCACCACGTTTTGGGCAAGCTCCATACCAGAAACCGGAGACTTTTTTGGGGGGCTTAGACCAATTCCAGAATTTGAATTTTGGGGTTGGGTTACTTCTACGGGTACCTGTGCTTTACTTCAATAGGGTACCCTGTTCTTGTACTAGCTACCTGTAAATGCACACCACTAGAGCTGCAAGTTAGTGCAGCAATACTTGAAGGGCCTATTTCGGGTAGACAGTAACACATTTTCAAACCAAATGGGTCATTCCTTTAAATTTTAAATAAATATGACCATCCATCACAAGTCCACTAACAAGTCTGGTCGTTGGTCACAGGGAATGATTATACAGTCGACTCTTGTTAGTACAAACTCTGTTAATACAAAATTCTGGTTATAACAAACATAAAGCCTCGGTCCCGACTGTGCATTTATGTGCACAATGAATGGGACTGATGTTCCTCTTAATACAAAATTCTGATATAACAAACAATTTGACTAGGTCCGAACGAGTTTGTTATAACAAGACTCCACTGTATATAACAGAGGAATGCCTTTGTCAAAATTTATTGAACATGACTGGATGACTTGTGGTTGAAGGCCGGTTCGTACGGGTACTTCTCGCGAATTTCAGTACAAATTAAGCAAATTTGTTAGGTTATAATGGCAAAAGTTCACAATGAAACTTCAATTGTTGACGTCATGAAAGTTGCTTCGCTGTTGCTTTCACTTCTGCGTGAGGTATATTATCCAGCCTTGACTTGTAATGGACTTGAGATGAACCTGTGATTGACTTGTGATTGACTTGTGATTGACTTGTGATTGACTTGTGATTGACTTGTGATTGACTTGTGATTGACTTGTGATTGACTTGTGATTGACTTGTGATTGACTTGTGATTGACTTGTGATTGACTTGTGATTGACTTGTGATTGACTTGTGATTGACTTGTGATTGACTTGTGATTGACTTGTGATTGACTTGTGATTGACTTGTGATTGACTTGTGATTGACTTGTGATTGACTTGTGATTGACTTGTGATTGACTTGTGATTGACTTGTGATTGACTTGTGATTGACTTGTGATTGACTTGTGATTGACTTGTGATTGACTTGTGATTGACTTGTGATTGACTTGTGATTGACTTGTGATTGACTTGTGATTGACTTGTGATTGACTTGTGATTGACTTGTGATTGACTTGTGATTGACTTGTGATTGACTTGTGATTGACTTGTGATTGACTTGTGATTGACTTGTGATAGACTTGTGATAGACTTGTGATAGACTTGTGATTGACTTGTGATTGACTTGTGATTGACTTGTGATTGACTTGTGATTGACTTGTGATTGACTTGTGATTGACTTGTGATTGACTTGTGATTGACTTGTGATTGACTTGTGATTGACTTGTGATTGACTTGTGATGGACTTGTGATGGACTTGTGATGGACTTGTGATTGTGACTTGTGATTGTGACTTGTGAGGGCCTTGTGATGGACTTGTCCGGACTTGTCATAAATTCTAATCAGTTTCAGTGAAATCAATCATGCTCATTGTACTGATACCTGAAGTTGCCAGCAGGATGTTGATCTTGAGTATTTCCCACAATTCCTTGGACCTGACCTTCTTGATGGATTTGCAGTGGAGTTTCTCCCAGCCATACAGCTTCAGCAGTTTGATTCCTTGGAACATCTCATTGCATTTCTTGAGACGCTCATCCGAGAACAGCTGCATCAGAAAATAACTCAAGTAATCAGTTCCATTTTTTCTTTTCTTACCGTTGCATATTTGGTGCAACAGGTGCTTCAGGCTGGAGTATGAAATCCATGCATGAACGGTATGGATGGCCCTTTAATGTGACCATCATATAACAGCTCTATGTGCAGGACGTACTGCCTTTGCATACTGTTTAGCGCATATGAAACATGTTGCGCATGATTAATGTTAATCGGAGTGTGCACAAACGGCAGTAATGGCGCTGCATGCACAAACTGCAATGCCATACAATGGAAAATTGCAGAATAACCCAAACCAGACTACGCCAATGGCACTCTTAACAAATTTTCCTCACTCCACTCAATCATTGTAATGATTTGCTCTCGCTCTAAACGCTGCTTCAGCCTTGACAAGCTTTTCAAATTCGCCACAACAGTATAGCATATGGCATTTCATAGAACCATTCGGCTCGGCAAATGTGAGTTTGGCACGATACAGGGCGAGTAAAAAAAAATGAAACCCAAGTGTCGGGACCATTGTTTTAGTGAAGTTCTGCATATAGCACTTTCAAAATCTAGGATATGAAAGCCCAATTCATAAGCTTTCTTTTAATGCTAGAATCATTCAAATCACTCATGTACTTTTCAAGTTACAGAGTTTTAAACACAACCACCCTTTTAAAGTTCTGTCCACGGATCACAAAAAAGGTGTGCCTTCTTTCAGCAAAATGAAAACAATTCACGCACATCCTTATGTGACTCGTGGGCCGTGGTACAGGTTCCAATCCTGACGGGGAACATGGTGCTTGTGTGCTTGGGCAAGGCGACTGGGCAAGGCACTTTACTACGATTGCTTCTCTCCACCCAGGTGTAGTAAATGGGTACCTGGTAGGAAGAAATTCCTTCAATGCTTGAGCGTCGTAATGGCAGTCGTGCTAAAGCCAGGGTAATAATAAGAGTGCCACGAGCGTCACTTCGTGACGAACATGAGCGCTATACAAGACGCCATTACCATTATTATTATTATCATCAAGCTATGTCCGAGCTCAGAATGGTTTTAAATCTTACCACGACTCTTTTCTGGATATGTGCAGTCAAGCAGGCTATCTCGAATGGGTTTAAATCTTACCATGACTCTTTTCTGCATATGTGCAGTCAAGCAGGCTATCTTGAGGTGAACAAAGAGCGTGACAGCCATGAGAACTATACACAACAGGGCTGAGGCGCCTAGCTCCATGAAGAGTAGTGTCATAGTTAGGATTCCCTGCAAGAAATGCACGCAATATCATACAGGGTGAGTAAAAAAACGAAACCCAAATGTCAGGACCATTGTTTTAGTGAATTTCTGCATGTAGCACTTTCAAAATCTAAGGTATGAAAGCCCAATTCATAAGCTTTCTTTTAGTACAAGAATCGTTCAATTCACTTATGTACTTTTCAAGTTACAGAGCTTTAAACACAACAACTGTTTTAAGGTTCCGTCCACGGATCACAATAAAGTTCAGTGTTTTTTCAGCAAATCGAAAACAAATCACATAAGGTTGTGGGTGAATTGTTTTCGTTTTGCTGAAAGAACACACACCTTTTTTGTGATCCATGGACAGAGCTTTAAAATGGTGGTTTTGTTTAAAACTCCGTAACTTAAAAAGTACATGAGTGATTTGAATGATTCTTGTACAAAAAGAAAGCTTATGAATTGGGCTTTCGTACCCCAGAGTTTGAAAGTGCTGCATGCAGAACTTCACTAAAACAATGGTCCCGACATTTGGGTTTCGTTTTTTTTACTCACCCTGTAGAGAAACTGCATACGGCAAATAAAGTTGCACTAGAAATTTTCATATCTATTTTCTAACTTATGTAGTGTTGCAGCTGAATCAAACTGAAATTCATCTAACATTGCACTCGAATCTGAACCGAACAGAACTGAAACTGAACTGTTGAGTTTGGTAACACGATTTTTAGCGCCGCATGTATATTAACCCTTACCTTCCCAAATCCTCCAAAAGCCTCTTTGAAAAATTGAGGATTTTGGAGGATTGAGGCTATATGGCAAAAAATGTGTAGCTGATTTTTGGAGGATGCTGTGTGTCAAGGTCTTAGGCCAGACCTTGTGATGTTAATGTTCAGCCGTGCATAAATGTAGGCCTAATTATTATTGAAATCCTCCGCATGTACTGCTCCAGGAGGTCACTGGCTCTGCCTCGACACATAGTGACAGTGATTGCTGGAGGATTTTGCAGGATTATGAGGCAGTGGTCACCCCTCCAAGGGCCAAATTCAAGAAGTAATGGATTATTTTGGAGAATTGAGGCTGTATGCAATTTTACATGGAGGCAGTTGGAAGATTTTGCAGGAATTAGGTTGCATCCTAGGAAAACATGCATAGGGAGTTAGGGTTACAGTGAGGGTTTGCTTTCAGCACTAATTTTTTTGTATCACTTACAGTCTCTATTCATGAGGCCTAGCAAGACCATTCGGATAGACTCCGACATCTTTGCAGAAAAACAAACAAAAACAGACAACAATAAGTTTTCGAGTCGAAGTATCAGCTCTTACAAAAAAATCATTAAACTTACTAGTGTAGGCATGATCCATGCCTGGTGCATTGATAGGAAGAAGTTAAAGATATTATCAGCGTCGGTTGACATATGATTGGTAATCCGACCGACATTCAGCGAGCCTTTGCCTTGGCAGAATGTCCTCAAACGCAGGGATTTCTCGTACACAACAGTCTGTTGAAATATAACAAAAACTGTTAGAACAGGTTCTGTGTGTGACAAACCAAAAATGAAAGAAATTTTACCAAAACCTTCTAAATCCTTATGGCTGTGCAGGAATCAACTAATGGTACGCTGTTTTAAACTTTCAAGTGGGATCCAGCCTTCCTCTTGCTGCCAAAGTGTGATGGCACCTAGTTCCAACCCAGGTCATACTCCCTTCCTCAACAATGTTTCACGTGCATTTCAAAACGGCAAATTTTACGTACATTTAACAGTTTCTTAACACACAATCACAGAGAGTAAATCCTCTATTTAGAAGAACATTTGTACCTGAACCAGAAGATTGTCACCATACCAGTTAAAACCACAGTTGTGGTTATATTTGCTTCCCAGAGGAGATTGAAGCCAATTGTAAACTAGATTTTGAAAGTGCTACATGCAGAACTTCAATAAAACAATAGTCCCAACATTTGGGTTTCGTTTTTTTTTTACTCACCCTGTAAACCACAAAGGGAAACTGACTGTGTGCAATGTTATAATCTGTTTTAATTGTCCAACAAAGAACTCAACTGGAGTCAGGTTTTTGGATCCGATGCTCTACCAAGTAACTCAAGGGGGAGGGGGGGGGCAGGGCCGGGCATGTGACCCCAACCCGAGTTCCATGGCCCCCTCGGTGCCCCTATTTAAAATCCGGAACAACAAAAACACAATAAATCAGCTGCCTTCAGTGTCCCCCTTGAAAAAAGGGTGTACCCCCAGGTGTCCCCTAGAAGTTTACCCTAATGTTATGATGCTTGTAGGTGGTTCCCCGATTGTTAATGTCTTTGTTCAAGGGGCGCCAGCTCAGCAGCCATTCGCTCTTTTTCACGCTCCGCCATAGGCATGCAGAGCCTCAATCTGGCAACTTTACACAATGGAAATAGCCGGTAATTAGTGATCTGAACCCCGACATGGGAAACACTGAACCGGCTATATTTATTGTGTAAAGTTGCCAGATCGAGGCTGTGCATGCCTATGGCGTAAGCGTGAATAAAAACCACAAAGACTTTTGCACAGGGCTGGACGGTTCAGTTTGAACGCCAATCCAGAGGTCACAGGTTCAACCCTTCTCTGGTCAGTATCTTTGTTCAACTTTGAAACAAAGGATGCAGGATCTTGGTGACTTGAGCATGGTTAGGTTTAATTATGCACCTCAAGTAGTGATGAGGTCAATAGGCCATGTTACAATTGGAAGTGGTCTTTGCCTCACCTTGGGAAGTCGTCTAATACCTCGAGGAGCTAATATCAACTATCAACCCTCAAACTATGTTTCATTTGTATACTTTGAGCGACCGGGGCACATTGAAGATATGGTAACATTTTCTTGGTAACATTGGAAATAATAAGTTTATATAAGAAATTTAGCAACCTTACTTCATTCTAAATTTGTCGGATGTAAAAAAAAGTATTTTTGATTTACAGCAACGTATAACATAACATCAAAAGCTAGGAATTCATATATGTACCCCAAAAATGGCATTAACAGAGACCCCCCCCCCCTGATTTACTCAAATATATAGGGTGAGTAAACAAAAAAAATGAAACCCAAATATTGGGACTATTGCTTTAGTAAAGTTCTGCATGTAGCACTTTCAAAATCTAGGACATGAAGGCCAAATTCATAATCTTTCTTTTAGTACAAGAATTATTCAAATCACTTATGTACTTTTCAAGTTACAGAATTTTAAACACAATCACCGTTTTAAAGTTCTGTCCACGGATCACAAAAAAAGGTGTGCGTTCTTTCAGCAAAACAAAACAATTCACACACATACCTATGTGATTTGTTTTCGTTTTGCTGAAAGAACACTGAACTTTTTTGTGATCCGTGGACAGAACCTTAAAACAGTTGTTGTGTTTACAATTCAGTAACTTGAAAAGTACATGCGTGATTTGAATGATTCTTGTACTAAAAGAAAGCTTATGAATTGGGCTTTCCTTTCCTAGATTTTGAAAGTGCTACATGCAGAACTTCACTAAAACAATGGTCCCAACATTTGGATTTCGGTTTTCTTTACTCACCCTGTATATCGCCTATTGATGTATCCCACTTGGTAAGTTTGTTAATTGTGCCCATTACCTGAATGGAACTGTATGCATGCTGGGACAGCAGAACCATCCAGTGCCTGTATGTTGCCATGCACAGTGAGCGGATCACAGTGCCAATGAACATCAGGCCAACCAGAACGAAACCATTGGAGAAGAATTCCTGGACAGTGAGAACATGGGGCTCTTCCTGCCATTTGAGGATGATAATAAAAAAAAATTAAAAATGAGCTTTTTTAACTTCTGAGAATGGGGAACGCAAACTTTAAAGTTATGTCACAAATAAAAAAATCCACAACTAATGTAGTCAACTAATCGTCTTCAATCAACCTTGCATATTGGTGTACAGTTAGATGAAGTGCTCACTTTTTGTCGCTTCTCGGTCTCTTTCTCGGTGATAAACAGAACGATTCCGCTGATGCAGAGAGGATTGATGAAGCGAGCAATCTCAGCTACCAAGCGAAGGCCTCCCGTGGTCACAATGTCCCACCAGTAGGCTCGCATGCACACGCGCCATAGCTGCAGGGCTCTGCCTCTATGGGCTGCTCGTCTCTATAATAAGGGTTATGATCAGAGAAAAGCCAATTGCAAACCAGTCATTGGTAATGTGTTAAACAAAATGCTGCTATATTATTAGTTATCCCATGAGCGCAAGTGGAACACGGAATAATGTAGTGTGTCTGTGTCCCACTTTGGCCACGTGGTATATGGGACACAGACGCACTACATTTTCCGTGTCCCACGAGCGGGAGCGTGATAACGAATTCATCTTTAAGCAAACTTGACGCGCAGTAAAGTTGGACCATTGCTTTACATGAACCTCTAGCGATATGGGGCATGCAGCTAGAATGTCGCTCGCATCTTGAAAAAGCGCAATACGCAGGGTGTGATATGGACCATGTGATACAGCCTCTTATCACACTGTTGTTGCCATGGATCGACCAATCAGGATCGTGGATACAAGTTTGCTTGAAGATAATGTGCTTTACAGCACTTGCAATACGTCTGTAGAAGTGGTCTGCATCTGCATCAATACTGCTCAACACTCCTTGTTGCGTTGCAGTTGGAGTAAACTGAGCAGGGTTGTGAGTGCGCATGGATGGTTCTAGTTTCTTAAGTGCTTGTACAGTTGTTGCTTGAAGGGTAGTTTGTCAGAGATCGATGTAATATTCACAGGCAATTGGTTCCACTCGGTTACAGTCCTTGGGAAAAAAAGGAGTATTTATAACATGGTTACGGAGTATTAAAAGGAATATTTATAACGTATGGTTACGTCATACGCCGCCGATGTCACGCGTTGACCAGGGAAATACGTCCAAATTAACACATATGACCTTAATTACGTAGCGATAGCCATGGTGCCCGCTTTTTCATAAACTTTTCATCCGTCAGAAAATAAAATAAATGGCATTCCCCACGTTCTCAGTGATGATTACAGTCAGCTACAAAGCAATGTCCCATTCTTTTAGACTTATTAACTCTTAATTCCAGAAAATTTTCAGATCAATTTGAAAAAGTTTACCCAAATTGCCGGTGCAAATCCTAAGGTAAAAATGGCAGAGAAGCCATTGTTTGGACCAATCACTATGGGAGATGACCCCACGTGATGTCATACTTCTATGGCATATTAAAATGTACATTATTGTAGGCTGTGTCAGAGACAATTAATGCAGTAAAATTCTAAGGGGTATTTTCTATTTGCACAACTGTCAGCACGAATATTAGAGAGAGCCAATCTTGAGTGAAAAATGATCTCATCGAAAACAACGTTGTCAAAATGGCAGCACCAAGTGTCATAAGTGTCATTTTGAGGGCAGGCAATTCTTAATGTCTCAAAAATTACATGTCACTGGAAGCAAAATTTCACTTGTGCTATCAATTTTTGGGGAACGTAAAAAAGGGCAACTTTCAGGCCCCAACAGAAGCATGAATTTCACTGCTTGCAAGTTGGTTACATAACACCAAATCACTCGGGGAGATTGTTTACCTTAGTTACTGAAATGACGACAAGGTTGCTGGAAAAAAGTTAGTCCCACTAAGGCCACAAAAAAAGTCTCCGGTTTCTGGTATGCGCGCTCGTCGCCGTAGCCATGCGCGTCGGCAAAATGAATTTTTTTTTTTTTCAATAAAAGATGATGTCTCAAAACCGCCAAACTCACTGGTTTGACTGGAATCCTGCTGCTGCACAATATTAACGTGTTTTTAGATGGGGTTATGATCGAGAATAAGCTTTATGTGGCCTCTTTGGAGACCAGAGCCTGGACTCCATATATTTACACTAAGTTTAGTCGGGCATTATTTGCAGTCATCAGCCGACATTTGAAGCAAAAAAAAACAGGTAAAAAAAAAAAAAAAAGCCGCGTCGCCGCACCACTTTTTGGGCAAGCTCAATACCAGAAATCGGAGACTTTTTTTTTGGCCTAAGGTGAAGACAGTATGCAATTTAGTGGAATGCATCACTGATCAGAATTGCATCACTGATCAGAATTTCTATGTGTAACGTTACCGTCACAAATAAGGCAATGAAAAATTATCTACATTTCTGAGTTTTCTTGAGGATGTGCACCGTAGCTGGTACTGTGCCTTCCTCCCTCACCCCCCCCCCCCCTAACCCAATGCCCGGCGCTGACGACAGTAGCTAGCACAAGCCGTTTTGCGGATACCGTCATCTTGCTTGAAATCGTGAGTGCGCAATGGTTCGGGGGAGGGGACAATGTGACCTGCACTGAAAATCCGCAGCATAAAAGGCATAGGGAGGTCAGACCTGTTCTGAAAAATCTCTCTTTTTCTGCAAAAAGAACACAATTTCGGGTGCAGAGTTTTAAACACTGATAAATTGGACATTGATTCACGTGACCACGCACGTTGCAAAAAAATTGGTATCATACTTGCCATCCGGACACTCATGTCCGGATCGTAAGTGCGATACCAAATTTTCTGCAACCTTCGTTACATGATCACCTGACTACTTTTTCGCGATACATTTTCCATTTTCGAGCTTGGCCCCGTTGCATGTGATATTTTTTAAATATTTCTTTTCACCCATGGACAGCTCAATGTCCCATTTATCAGTTTTTCAAAACTCTGTATCAGAAATTGTGTTTTTCACTGAAAAAAGAGAGAGATTTTTCAGAACAGGTATGACCTCCCCATGCCTTTTACGAAGCGGATTTTAAGTGGGGGTCACATGTGCCAGCGAGCTCGCCCCCAGGCATTGTGCAATCACGATTTCAAGCAAGATAACGGTATCCGCGAAATCTTATGAGTCCAACACACATTAATAGTGAAACTATTAACAGTAATAACTCACTCTTTCTTCCTCAAGCACTTTGGTGAATCTCTCGTGGTTGAATCGCGCTCCGTGAATCTCCGGGAGGGATCCCAGATCTTTCATTTCCAGGGGGCGTTGGAAACCCTTCTTCAGGAGGGGCCCCAACCAGGAGAAGGTGATGCGAGACAGCATGCTGCAATGCTCGTCTAGGAAAAACATCTCAGGGTCTTTAAGGTCGGATGGCAGAGCCGAACCTGCCACACTTGCATCCTTCTCTGAAATTTTCGAGTCTCTTCTTAGCGACTTGCAGAAAAGAATCTGTGGTTTTTAAAAAGCGAAGGAGTAAATGCATTTTCAAAATACATTTTCTTCAAATTACATTTTCTTCAAATTACATTTTGTTAAAATTACATTTTGTTAAATTACTTGTGGATTTGTAGATTCGCAAATCTACCACACAATATTTTCAATACTGCCTGGTTCCTCTTAATTTAAAACCCTAAACGTGCTCAATCCAACAGGATCAAACTGTTTTACATACCTGCTGGGTCCTGTTGCATTGAGCAGTAAACCCCTTGTATGTATTCCTGTTAAATCTGTTGGATTCGGCAGGCAACTAAAAACATTCAGGGTCGGATTTTGTCAGGCACTGGTACATAACGCCAACTTGGACTCTGTTGGATCCAGCAGCAAACAGAAAAACAAGGCACAGTTGGATTCTCTTGGATTGAGCATGCCAGTCATTTCACATTTTCAGGAACCCAACAACTTGGCAAGTTGGGTTGCCTGGGACTGTACGTGTTGGATTGAGCAGGAGACTCATGAGTTCAGTTAACCGTCGGACTCTGCTGGATTTAGCAGGGTACTCCTGGGGAACTACTAGCTAGGAGGTTAGGGTTTTAATCACGAAGACAAGCAAGCCAGAGGGCGAGAATCTGAATAAGTTTGTTAGTAGTGCCATATACTTTGAGGGAGGTTTTCTTGGGTACTTTAGGTAATCACAACTTACCTTCAACCTTATTACATTGACTTCATTCAGGAAAAGGAGAGCGTGTAGTGATGCGGTGATGACAGTCATATCAAAGGTTACAATTGTCAACCTGGCTATCTGGAGATATGCAAGGTGTACCAGGCGGAGCGAGTTGACGGCTAGCGACACCAACCAGTAGAAGAACAGCAGCCAGGCCATCTGAGGCCGTTGCCAGACTTCCATTTGTTGATTGTAGACGATTGACAAGACGGTAGCTAGTATCGCGCAGGCATCCGGAAGGTACAAATGAGGCTGAGGACTCGGTCTCGTTGAACTGCCATGGAATGTGATTTCAGTTAAGACGCCCTCCACCACACTGCCTATCAATGCACCGACAAGGATAAATGTGAAAACCCATCGCCAGTCGTGGCCGGGGAACTTCAGGAGGTATCTGGCCTTACCGATCCCCTTGAGACTGGCACAACAGCGTGTGCCAATCAGGACTACGGGAAAGATGATTATCGCGAGAGCATGGGGGACGGCTTTCAGAGTGTTAATGAGACAGGTGTTCAGGAGAAGCTTCTGAAAGATGTCTGAGAATTGGTCAGGGTTTGCCTGGAGCCCGTCACGTACAATGTCAGGCTTGGTCGCATTGGCACCACACATCCAGTCAAGGAACGTCTCCTGGAAATCGGCCAATGAGTCTAATGATAACATTCTGTATACTTCTCAGTTCCTGCAACGTTTTAAAGAGAAAGAAAATATGGCATGCACTCAATGAAGACTAAGGGTCACAGGAGAAATGTGAAGGTAATATTTAGAGTCATGATCATACAAATTTTACACTGAATGGGTTTATCTGTTATTATTTGGTTGATGAAAAATATAGGAGTAACATACAAAATTGCTGATATTCATAGACATGAAATTTGAAATTTAATATGACCATAATCAGGATTACAGCACAAGCCGATTGAAGGGGGGGGGGGGGGCAGGAAAGAACAGCTCCCCTCCCCCCCCCCCAACAAAAATAAGCTGTTTCTTTTTCTTTTTTTCACCCTCTACAGTAGACCTATAATTTAGCCATACACGGCAGATGAGAGGTTTTAAATCAAAGCTACCAATCCCCTTTTCCTGTATTGATTTGTGAAAAATGTCACCATTAGATAAGGTGAAGGGGAAAAGAGCACAGCCAGCTGGCCAGTTGGCCCCCAAAAATTTGGTTCTGGATCCACCCTTGACATATAGTGATTAAGACGTACAGTCTTTGCTTCATTGAAAGCTAGGCTTGATATTGGTAGAATGCAGTATCCTCAAGCCAGGCCTTATGCAGAAGAAAAAGTCTCTACGTGGCCATCATGATCCACTCCCGGGAGTGGTAAATATTTTGTTAGTAGGCCTATTTCTTACAAATTCTGGCACTATTTCCAGTGGCGCACCCAGAATTTGGTTTTTGGGGGGGGCGGGGGCTCAATTTGTTTTTCAAAAAATGTTGCCCAAAATTTTTGGCCGCAGAAAAAAATTGGATTTTTTTTTTTATTTTTTTTTTGGTGGCGGGGGGACTATTTTGACGTTGGTGGCGCCACTTACACCCCTATTATACTACTCGAAAATAGGGCACATACATATCACCAAGGTCAAATCGTGGGAAAATTACCTAAAAAAAAAAATGACAACCTCCTGGGGGGGCCCCCCCCCCCCCCGGGTGCGCTACTGACTATTTCTACACATTTCTCCATAGTCAGCTACCAGATAATAAATGACAAGGAATGAAGAGGTTGGTCTTTTCAAACAGTTGGATCATGGTTAGACTACCAGTCTAGTCTTTAGCCTCATTTGGAAATCATTTGACTTCCCTCTCATGTGCAAAATATTGAGAAAAAGTCTCCATTATTCTAAAAATTGAATTGGGTCTTCAAACTTGGTTGGTCGTGAAAGTATCTTGTCTTTCCCTCATGAACATTTTTAGAGAATTTTGTCAGCCAAAGAGTGAGTACAGTTGGCCTGATTTTGTTTTGCGTGTTTTCCAGCACTATCGACATGATCGAGGTCACATACCACTCCTGCAGATCCTGTAGGGCCTATAAAAACAGAATGGGACCAGCATTGAGGAAGGAATAGACCCAGCTACCGATTCTTAATTTCTTAACTTCAATTTGATTATGAAAGAGACTTAAATTTAAATAATTTTCAAAGCAGGACACAAAGGCATTTGCTGGTTCTACCATCTCACCTTCTGTAAAATACCTGTGTAGGAACTACCAGCACGTCGCCCAAGGTCCCGACCGGGGCCGGCGCGGACTACGCTCCGACTAGTAGTCCAACTGCAGCTGTCCCGTTCGTCCGGGTCAGTAGATACACTCGATAATGGAGGAAGGAAATGGCATCTCGCTCGATTTCATTTGGGGGAAAAAAACTCGAGGTTGATGTGCACACAACTTCTCTAAATAGTATGGTGAGAACTTCAACATACTTGGCATACATTTTGTATACCCCTGAACGATTGTTATGTAACCAAGAATCCCGAACTGTCTTCAAACTCAGCAGCATCAATCATAGAGCACGATATCGACGATTGACCAATTTGGATCATTACCGCCGATGAGGGCCCTGGGGTGGCGCACCACGTGGTTACACGTTTACGTGGCCACGTGGTTTAGTGCCCCCCCCCCCCCCCCCCCCCCCCCCCACAACATAGCGCACGTCACAGACTGTAGTAGCTGTGCATCGGGTTTGGTTGACCCAGGCCAAACAGACACGAAACATAATATACACCGCGTGAATTTCTTAACATTTGTTCGGTTAAGGCCTATATATTTTGGTTTATTTCGGGGTTTTCGTGAAGATGGACCCGCCCCGCCCCGCCCCGCCCCGCGACCGCCCCGGGGCCGCCCCGACCCGAAAATCGCAAACGCAAAACCGAAAACGACCCGACCTGACTGAAATAATGGAAAAACCGACCCGACCGGACACCGAAGTCGGTTTTCGGTTAGCCTTGACCAAGGCTATCAGCTTGTTCCCATACGAGCTTGTTCCCTCTACCGCACACCGCGCGCGCCGCGACACAATCACTAGTTGTACTATACCGTTAGCCTCAACGACCCTTGCGTGTGCTTTGTGTGCATGTACGTACGCCCCACACACACTTCCGCAAACAGCCGTACAATAAGTCGAAACGGAAGATAGCCTTGACGCAACCGTGGCGAATTCCTTATGTATTTCTTTATAGTTTCGACCGAAATCGGCCGAAAATTTCTGATGCGCATATATTACACGATATCCAATCAAAGCCCGTAAACTTTGACCCGCGACATACATATTCATGACCCACAAATTACTGTATACACAACGTACATGTATGTTCACTCAAACCATGGTATGTCCAGGCTAGGCGGCATGGAGGAATAAGAACACTTATTCCTCCATGGTCCAGGTATTTCAATCCCATTTTAAACCATTTCTCCAGTTTTATTACAAACAAATGAAATATGCCTCTATATGAGTGAACAATTGTTCAAAATGATACTATTTCCAATGTATTGCGAATTGGACAGTTCAAGACAGTCCGCCGACGTTTTGTCGGTGCAACAGCGTACACATCACGCCGCTACCTGCCCGTGCTATTCTGACAGCGAATGTAGGGAACAGGTCAACTCGGACCCAAGTCAAATCATACCCATTTTATCGAATGCAGGTTAACTCGTATCTATAAGCACCCGTATGAATTAACTGCGAGAAACGAGCTATTGACTTTGGGATGGAAATAAACGAAACTGTCAGGTACATGGTGAAAAAAAAACTCTCCCTGAATTCGTACCATGTGTAAATTACATCTCATACGTACGACACATGTATTTTAACGCGTACGTATGAATCCTATATCGTACCTACGACATACGTACGAGATGTAAGTCGTAGATGTAAATCGCACGAGATACAAGTCGTTCTCACAAGATATGTTGTATGTACGACATAATCGACAAACAAGTCGAACATACGAGTTACAATTCATATTTTGTACACACGAGATATTAAGTCGTACTTATATACGACTTTGTCGTATGTGACATATATCGTACCCTGTCGAATCGACTTATGCACGACATATATGTCGTACCGGCACCTGTCGACATTATGTCATATGTTTGATATGTCATACCCTGTCGACATATACGTCGTACCCTGTCGATGATATTAGTCGTACCTTGTCGAAATATGTCGTACCCTGTCGATATATAGTCGTACATACGACATATAACTTATAAGTTGTTCATACAAGTTAAAATCAGTCTTACAGAATAAGTTTGCTGAAGGAAAGATATTTTTTCCCATATCCCCTTGACAGCTTAGAAGAAATACCCCCCACCCCCCAAAAAAAAAGTCAGCGGTAGATATACTCAAAAGTGTGAGCGCTTTTTTTGCCGCTGAACGTGAAAGCGCAGCGTGTCTTACTGCATGGCGCCAGCCGGGCCGGTGCCTACAGTGGACGGCCCCAACGTGGCCTCTGTGCATGGTGACATGTTTTTGCCGGCGTGCGGTTTTGTACCGTTTACCGTTTTTTTGAAGGTGTAATTTTTCATCCTTTTCATTTCATTTTCGACCCAAACTATGTGTAACTTTATAAATATTATTCTACTATTATTTAAGATTTTAAGGGGGTGTTTTACAATAATTATTGTTACCACAGGCCATCTGGTTTATAAACCTTTGGTCGTATTATGCAATACAATAAATATTCATTTTTTTGTCAGCCGTTATCCAATGAGAGAAGACTATTTACCATAGCGCGTACTAATTATCATATTCAGCATACACGGTTGCGTCAAGGCTATCTTCCGCCTCCACTTACTGTACGGCTGTTTGCGGAAGTGTGTGTGGGGCGTACGTACATGCACACAAAGCACACGCAAGGGTCGTTGGGGCTAACGGTATAGTACAACATTGTGTCGCGTTGTGCGGTAGCGGGAACAAGCTCATATGGGAACAAGCTGATAGCCTTGGTCAAGGCTAGTTTTCGGTCGGCACAACATTACGTCTGAGTTGGTCGCGCGTTTCATCGTGACGGAAAGTGGTGGGAATATGGGATGACCAAAATCCAAAAATTGTCCGGCGCCCGTGGAAATTCGAAAAGCGGGGTGGAGGGGGGGGCGCTGACACCACATTACACTAGGCCAAAAAAAAACGTCTCCGGTTTCTGGTATGCGCGCGCGTCGCCGTAGCCATGCGCGTCGGCAAAATGAAAAAAGTTTTTTTTTCAATGAAAGATGATGTCTCAAAACCGCCAAACTCACTGGTTTGACTGGAATCCTGCTGCTGCACAATTTTAACGTGTTTTTAGATTGGGTTATGGTCGAGAATAAGCTTTATGTGGCCTCTCTGGACTCCCATATATTTGCACTAAGTTTAGTCGGGCACCATTTGCAGTCATCAGCCGACATTTCAAGCAAAAAAATCATGTAAAAAAAAAAAAAAGCCGCGTCGCCGCACCACTTTTTGGGCAAGCTCCATACCAGAAACCAGCGACTTTTTTTTTTTGGCCCTATATAGGGGCGCTCTTCAGGATATAGATGTATATTAATATGTAGACCTATATCAAATAGGCGCATTTTAAAAGCTTTTGTTCTTCGTTTCACCACTTTTCAGTGCTATTGAATTCATTTTGGTCATTGGGATGTTGCCAAATTACCTCTAATTCAACATTTTTTTCCTCGTCACTAAAAAAGTGGGGGATATCCCCCCCCCCCCCTCGTCAAAAAGTGGGGGATACATACCCCAATCCCCGGCCTCCAGGGCCGCCCCTGGGGAAGGGCCACTATTCACAACAAAATTTCCGTAAAATTCCAGGGTCCGACTGCTCAGCCAAATCCTGCAAAATATCAATCAATTGCTCATACTGAAAAATAATCAAGGCGACGGATTCCGGTAATTTTTTAATTTCAACATTTCAAAGATTTATACCCCGATGGATAGACCCCATTATGTGTAAATTAAGAGTAAACTTAAACGGGCTCATCACAGCATGCAATACAGGGGACGGCATGCATGATGACTCAATAAGAACACATTATACATTTTAAGGAAACACATAATTCGCTAAATAATAATGCATACAATAACAGAATATTACTGAATACCAATGTTACTTTTCAATGTAGCAATGCGTCACTGTTGACTGGATCCTTCTTGTGTTTGTAGATTGAACCAACAGATCGTCTGACTATTCTGAACAGCGAATTGTAATAAACATTAGCCGAATCGCAACCCTCAAAGGCGACAATTCCGGGCTCGAAATGCACGTATTGGTGCTTGCCGGTCAGCAGTGGCAACTCTCCGGTCAAGTCCGAGTTGTTCTTTTCTTTCATCGCCACATCTTTGCGAACAGTCATTCCAGCTCGGAAAGCTTGACTGCGGGGAGGTACAGTTTCAGACGGTTTCCATGCCATGACTCTCGCCGGACGATTTGCTCTTCTATCCCCACCTGTCCGGATGTCGCTGACACTCTGAGATCGTCGCCTCGTAGTTTTGGTAACACATTTCCCGAGGTTGCCTCCCTGTTCATCATTTGCAAATTTGCGGGCGCTCTTCACGTCTGGTTTGTCGGCTGGGGCCGTAGAAATGGTTGGGAAGGTGGGCACAGTGCTGGGTCTCCCGTAGTCCACTGATGCCGATCGGTCGAGTCGTTGGCGGGCTTTGGACATGGTGCCGAGGGAGGCAGCGATGTTCCTTCTCGATGCCTCCATGAAGGAAACGTGAGACATTTCTTCAGTGAGCTCAATAGGCTTCAGGACCATACCTTCGTCCTTGGTTAATGTAAGGTTTTGTCTGCCTCCTTGCTCAGATTTACTCGTAGCTGCTACGGTTCCAGGGCTATCAACATCCCTGTTCTGTATGAGACTGTCTTTTAGACTATGAGCTTCATTCTCCACAATTGTCGACATGCTGTTTTTCCTTGGCGTTACATTATTGCATGGGGTGCCTTCAATGCATCGCTCGATTTGTTGACTGTCTTGCAAAGCATCGTCCGATTTTGGCGAGATATGCAAAGGAACAGTAGTCGATGGACTATCGAGAGCATTACCAACGTCAAAGTTTGCTGGTTGGATCGGAGCAGAAGGGGATACGACGTCATCATGACGTCTTGCAGTCGAAGTTACTGACGGTTCCCGAGTTGCACTGTCGGCTAGGTTCCGGGGAGATTTAGCGTCCAGCCTATCCTTGCTCATGATCCTCTCATCATGAGCACTCATAGGTTTGTGAGTCACAATGGTTGGGTAGTAGACAGTTTTAGGAGTAGTTTGACCAGTGAACGCAGAGTTGCTCAGGCGAGGGTTTTCTGAAGATTTTCTATCTTTCCAGGAACGGCTCCGCCTTTCATCAGCTTTAAGTCTCGGTGCGGCACTGAAGCTTGTCCGTAGCACTTTGAAATCAGTATTGCACTCTTTTCCCTGGAAAGTGTCATCCGTAGTGACATCAGTCTTTGTCTTGAAACCCCGAGGAATAGATATCACATTAGTTTCGGTACCATTAGGAAGGTGATCTTTGACGTTAAAATTTACTCCCTGGATGCCGTCACTCAGGACACGATCAGTGTTCTGACGAGATTGTACCTGATGAAGAGACTGCATGTTGGCGAGAAAAGTTGACGGACAATTGGAACGAGATTTCAAAATATCAATTTTACATCCACAGGCAACTGCAGGCAATGCTTTATGATAAACCTATATAGGCTGCTTCACTTGTTACCGATAACTGCAACAATCGGCTTGTACCGAAATGCTCGATTTGCATTTTATTATGTCAGTTCATCATCATTCAACAGTTTGCTTTCGATACATCAGCATAATACAGGAGATAGGCCCTAAGGTCCGCGCGAGGATGCCAAAGAATATACGGCCGCTGTCAATCTTAGCGCCCGTCACTGCTAATATTCACGCCGATTGGACTACAACAAAGGCCGTAGATTGACTGAGTTTCCTCCCTAATCTATCTCTTTGGTGTCTCCGTGTCATTCTTCAGTCACTGAAGAGCTTTTAATCGTCTACCTCCTGCTAGTGGCTTCAAGTTTGCCACGATGAACAGGTACATGTGTAGAATCGCAATTAAGTCAATGGTGCATCACCCTCTCCAATCAAGACATCTTTGTTGTTATGCCATGCAGTCAAGTCTGACAAAACCGAATGTCTTCACTAATCCAACCACGCGTCCGAATCTTTCGTGAATCCATTAATCTATGTCTAAAGCTTCTGATGACATCTCCGACGTTTAAATCGAAACAATACTGTTTTCCTTCCCTCGCATTACCAAACAGATAAGGTCGTGCGGCGTAACCAGGGCAAATAACAAATCTGATGTGCCCACCCTGTTTTTCCCCTCCCTCAATCTGGTCCTTACCTTCTCTCCTGAAATCCCTACCGTCAATATTGACTTGCCGCCCCAGCAAGTCTCGCCCGAGCGCTCGGTAAACATCTCGCATGTCTGCGAACTTGTTAAAAAGTTGGATGGAGCGCGAGCAAACATTATGATAGGGTTTTAGCATTACAGGAGCTAGATGGGTACGTGCTCGCCTTAGGGAAACTATTTATAGTCTTCGTCTTGGATGGGTAAAGTTGGATCATACAGCAACGAACGAGTTGCCGAGTTGCACACCCTCAAGGCAAACGGGCGCTATTTTAGAACCTCAAAAGCGAAGCCTTCACCCTAATGGGATTAGTCAATACATCAACCCCTTTCCCCTTCGGTCTCAAAACAAGCAAAACAAAAGTTCAAAGAGCAATGAGACAACTTGCAGGTATGTTCAGATTACATTCTGTGTTGTGTTAATGTCATTAAAAATATTGAGACAATTTCGATTTAAGCATATCACATCTAAATAGGCGTATACAGAAAGTATACACCTTATGCTTCGACACGAATGTCGGACACTTCGCCCCATTTCCACGTCGCCCCATGTCACTTCGCCCCTAACCACTTCGCCCCATCCCCACTTCGCCCCATCCCCATATCGCCCCATCCCCACTTCGCCCCATTCCCACTTCGCCCCACTTCGCCCCATCCCCACTTCGCCCCAGCCGTTACATGTAAAAAGTAAAAAAAAATCTCATCTTTTTTATTGGCTTAAAAACAATTCCAACAGATTCACTAATTGCTAACCAACGGAAAGAATATATATTTGTTTTGGCCTAAAAGATCCAACTTTGTTCCCAACCCGGCTATACCAACCCGTCTCCCACTTATCTGAGAACGACAATACCTTTGACATCCTAATTTCACTCGTGGAGGAACCAATCTACATGGGGCGAAGTGGGGATGGGGCGAAGTGGGGATGGGGCGAAGTGGGGATGGGGCGAAGCGGGGATGGGGCGAAGTGGGGATGGGGCGAAGCGGGGATGGGGCGATGTGGGGTTGGGGCGAAGTGGGGATGGGGCGAAGTGGGGATGGGGCGAAGTGACATGGGGCGACGTGGAAATGGGGCGAAGCGTCCGACAACGCTCTTTCAGTAAAGAACAAGGGTATTCAAATTTATAAAATGCATACAGACATTTTTAGGCATTTTTCATTTATTAGATGTTTTCATGTCTATGCTACCAGCTTATACCTGATGTTGAAATTTTCATACCGTCTGATTGCCGGCACTAAGGCAAACATTAATGGTCCGGCGAGGAATTCAACAAACAGACAAATTGACATGTCAACAAACAAACGGTGCAACAGAATAAATACCAGCCTGTTTCCCTCCTACCGCCAGCAGTGATGTCCTCTCCTAACTTTTCCTATACATGAAACATGTAAATTTTGAATTTAACTTTCACAATAGCGAGACCACACTTTCTCATAGCACTCATGCAGACTCTCTGGCTCTCTGCAGACAAAAAGCCAGAGATAAATTTTAATTAACAACTTTAACGTTAAATTCCTGGTAAAAAAAGGTCTTCCAACGTGTTATTTTTTTTTTTTATAAAAACGGACTTTTATCATGCTGCCACCATTTCAGTCATGTTCCCTGTATCCAAAAACAGTACTGAATGATAATGTTTTTGGCCCTTCCATCCTCGCTTTGGTTATACGTTGATTGAATGGGGGAAAATCAAGATGGCCGCAGCATGATAATGGTCTATTGGGACTGTACAGATTTCCATATTTCATAAGTCACTAAGTTAAGCGACAGCCCAATTAGCATATTGACAAATTAAGCCCAAGCGACATGTCAGTCATTCCCACGAGCTATACTACATGTATGGAAATATGGAGTGTATGTGATTTCTTGTTTAATGTTGGGTTTCTACAGTGACGTGTGTATGTGCGTGTTGGCATGGTTGGAATAGTGCTGCCGAATTTACGAAAACTACACGTATAATAATTGTGAACGGTTTGCGATAGAACCCCCCCCCCCCGGAAAAAAATATATGCGTTTTCTCGCGGGATGTTTAGTAGGAGTATTCATCCGAACCCCCCACCTGATGAAGGCCAAAGATCCCCCCCCCAAGTTCCTTCACCTATTTAGGCCACAGGTGGCGCTGCAGACACCCCGTACATTATGCTGCACAAGAGACTCGGCATCGTCGTTCATGCTCAACAGTTCACGCAGCGCGCGCGCGTGGCAGAGAGTTGATGGCTGTACCGTCCGTACCCTCGCATAGCAACCGTACCGATCGACCAGCCGCCCTCTGCATGGTACGGGCGCCTCCAGGGAAAATTGGTGAAGTCTTGCGGGACTAATATCACAATTTCCAGATAGCTCTAAGACCGCAAAGCAAATCTATAGTGGAGTGGCCCTGTATTCTATGGTTGTGCCTGTGTTGACATCCAACGAACTCAGAATGGATTTTATTGGGACAAAACCACTACAACTACAAGTACGGGATTTGAGAGTTTGACGGATCGATTTCGAATACTGGCGAGCCTTCAACAAAGAATATATAGTTGCTACACCTGCATGTGTACAGTCCACACAACCTGGTATATAAACGCGTCACTTATAACAGAAATGACTGCCAGTAAACCAACCTTTCTAGAAATACACACAAATGCGGTATGTATGCTTTTACCTATTAGACTAAGTAAATATATATTGTGCCTGCTGCATTACATTTTTTTCTTTCTCTGCAATATCTAGCCTACTATAATAATGTACAAAAATATACATTTCTATAATGATAGGAATGTAATGTGTTTCTCTAAAAGTGTTCATACGGTACATCAAAATTTAATGTCAAGTAAGGCAGTTGCATTTGTTCTAACCATCATGGCTATTCCTTCCTCCATGTTTTAATACTCTGGTTGTCTTTTCTACCGCACAATGGGCAAGATTACCATATGCGAAGTTCACTAATTTTCCTCTGTATTGACTAACAAGCCCCCAGATAGCCATTTCATGTCATCAAAGTCAATTTAAGCAGTGAGAAAATACAAGCATTTTCTTAGAAAACACTTAGAATTTTTCAGTCCAATCTCATAGGGTTTGTACACAGGGTGTTGAGTGAACTTCGTATATGGAAATCTTTCCACACAATGTACTTTTGCACCAAAAATATACATGTGTTAGTTACCATAACAAACACATCACACATTCCTCTGCGCAGCATTTTCATCTACCCGGTGTCACGGTCTCACTTCTCCGGCGTGCTGGCTTCTCCAAAAGGGAAATTTCGCTTCAACACGCATGCACAAAATTGTGCAGTAGTGTACATTTTCGTCACTGTATTAGTGTGCTGAGTTTTTCGGGGCTGTACTTGTGTACGTAAGATATTTGTATGCATAGAATTTTCGTGGCGCGCACTATTAACTCCCAATATTAAAGACTTGAATTGAAATGCACATTTATTTTAAGCCGTGGTTGCAAAAATAAGGACAAAATGGACCACGAACGAGCAAGGAACACGGACCAAGGAGTTCGTTCTTAATTATTCCTCCATGAACACACACATGCATGACGCTGGGAACACAAATCAGAATGCTTGCAAGACCATGGAATGACTTGACCCACAGGAAGTGTTACATAACACACTCTTGGGTGTCCCTCACTGTGTTATTGGGCTTGGTAGACTTCAGAAAACAGCCCGAGGAAAAGTAAGCACAGCGGACACATGAGCATGAATCGTGCTCATGTAACGTGCACTGTAACGTGCTCAATTATCCGCCGAATCAACCCGGAGAAGCTAGCACGCCGGAGAAGTGAGACCGTGACACCGGTTGAAGCAATAATCCTGCACCCCATGGGCCGAAGTGTGACCTCCGTAATATGGGGTCGAGAGTAATCCTTCAGTTGAAATTCACGACACGCCTGCACTTTTCAACTCTGATCTCCAAATATGGAAGGCATGCCTAAAGTGGATTGGTACCGACCATGTAAACTCATGATCAGTGCCTATCGCCATCGTTCACTGCAGCGCAATGATGTATCGTGACACCGTTTTCTTTTGAACCATTTCTTTTCATTATTAACGTTTGATAAACTAAACCAAGTAACAGTGGTATTAATAGTGTAATGAAAAATTGTCTTCGGCGGAATGGAATGTTGATCTATAGTACTGTTAATTTTATTCCCAAAATGAACCAACCGTTTTGTGTCCGGTAGCGTACATCCATCGTATACTTAAACTGTCGATCCGATTATTTTGGCGTCACAACAATATTTTAAAAAGTGCATTTCGAGCTGAGGCTTAATTACTGATCGATCTGAGACTGGTATTAAAAGTATGTCATACCATGGATCGAGGTAGATCCATGTTCACACTCAATTAATGTATACATTGCATCGTAAACTATGTATACATGAACATTTCGTTTCATGCATTTAGTTCGCTTCCAATAAAAACACCACTCAAAATCCAAAGAACAATGTTCAATACCTAACCTCAGTGTAACCTGTTGAAGTTTAAACTCGGCGAATATAACCTACACTTTTCGAGAAAACAGTGAAAAAGCTTGCACAACATTTTCATGAAGAAACACGATTTCGTCCACAGCACTGCATACGATATATTTTAATCCCAGTAAGGTTTTCGATAATAATTCTGAAGGTTATTTTTGGCGTAATATACCATGGCAAGTGGTCATATTATTCCTTCAATGCACATGGGCCAATGGCATGATACGAATACAACCACTGAACTGAATGGTGTGGCTTTCACCACTCATTCCGCCATGTTGAAATAGATTGACACGCTCTGATCAATTCGATCAATGGGAACCAAGGAAACGATTTATAAAGCTATCTTCCCCGGTCAGCACGCACTAATCATGCAGACGGCTTACGGCTATTGTTGGATCAATAACCATTGTGCCACGGGTTTATTTGTTGTGCGGCAGGCCTATTTAGTGGGCACACGAGCCAGTCCGTGTTGTGGTTATTTAGGGTAAAGTTAGTGGATTTAATATTCTGGAATCGTTATTACCCGCATGCATACTCAATGGTTGGTTCGAATACTATTAGCACAGCGATGATAACGAATTTAAATCAAGTAATACGTATTGATAAATGCGATGAAAATCGTGATTGGAAGAAAAGTTGATAAACTTTCTTTTGCAAACGGATTAACTGAAGTGCTTTTTAAGTTTGAAATGAATTTAACAAAAAATACCAGGGATTCATTTTACAAAAACGTAAGAGTTGTCATCAAAGATCAACCAGTGGGCACCTATCATCATGTGAGACAAAAACATTCCTTATGATTTCTGATTTAGCTTGTGATCGACTTGTTTGCCTTGTGTCTCATCACAACTCTATCAAAAGAGTGATAATAGCATTAAAAATGACACCATGTTCGCATCTTAATCAAATTGGCTACATGATAGCATTAATAATTATTGCTGATGAGATCCAAACATTTTAACAATCCCTGTACATGTACTTATCGAGAGCGTTTTGTCTAAATTTGGTGGTTTTTGTCATTATTCTCTAGGCATGATGCTATCTTCAAGTCGTGAGTCCCTCGGCCGTGCCAGCCTGCCCGAACTTCCTTTCTACTCCCGCAAACCAGCCCGGATCAAGATCCCCAAATCCTGGCAGTTTCTGAGCCACCAACAGTCACGAGAAAACTGGCTGGACTCCCACAGCATCTATGCCAAGAAGAAAAACTCCAATGGGTAGGCATTTGAACTCGATATTTCTCATGTTTCGTTTGATGAAAAGTAATGTATAACTTCAGAAAGATGTAATGATAACTTTGTGTCAAAATTTTGTGTCTTATTATTGTGTATTTATAGACACTGTTATGGTTGTTATCAGTTACATGTGGTAGTGATGACCATTTCCAAAGTAATATTGACCTTAAAAAAATCAGCTAGTACATCCTTTTGAATAAAGAGTGTTGCATTTGTATCTCCACTAAAGCTTACCAAGACCTGGACATCGAGACCTCTTGACAAGAGAGGCAACTGATATCCACCTCAGGAAGGAACAGGGCTACATGAGAGAGATCACTGGCTTTCCTGTCATACCACACATCAGTGGCAGTGCAAACCATCGCAGAGGTCGACCCATACTCCGTCGACAAACAGCGAACAACATCAGTCAAGAGTACCGCTGGGTCCACAACGGCCTAAACGGGAAGATGGTCCTGACCAGTCAGAGGTATCGGCATATCTTACCCCCGCCTCTAAGCAACCACCAGGAGACGGACTCTCATCTGCACTACTGTGAGGTGTTAGGCCGGAGGACCTGCTCTCAGTGTGTTGAGGAAGCTAATCGCCAGATGGCAGCCGAGTACCAACAGGAAGCCTTTCCTGGACTGGAAGTGACTGCCGCTAGCCTGGTAGCCCCGAAGCTCTCCAAGACCATGATGTCCTCTAGGGACGGCCCAAGGAAACAGGTGACTGCTCCTGAATCGCAAATCTCCCTGAATCCCTTTGATACAGCCACGACACCTCCTCCTTACCGAATCTCTTCAGCTTTCACTCAGGATCGATACCAGATCAGTATCTCTAAAGATAAGATGCTGAAATCTTTGACAAAGACTCTGCGCAGAGACCGCACCATAATGAAAGAGACAGGGGGATTTGGCAAGGTGCCACAGCTACAAAGGATACAAAGTAAACCATCTAGTTACTTGCAAACTCCTGTAGCTAAGACAGCCAGGTAGAACATAATGCCAAAAGTGGGCAACCACAGCAAACATTTTTTTTTAACAGAAAACAAAATTTACCACTCCCCATTAGCTCATTGTTTTGCTTTAATATGAGCCAATGTTCAGTGAGCCGCCAAAAGCACACACACATGATTCAACATGTATCTTTAGGCACAAAAGAGTTTTGGGTAGGACAAAATGTCAAGTGATATTTAACTATCAAGCACAAACTGCTGTGCTAAGCAATTTATTCTGCGAATATCTTTAGCACTATTTAACTTGTAGCAAATGTTAGGATCCTTGGTGATATTATTTTTCATTGTGTTCACTTCAAGAGGCAGTGAATAATGTCATACAGAAAAAAGAGAATTCATAAGATTTCAACTTTTGAGTACTTTCATTAGTAATAGTTTATTCAATCTGAAAAATACAGTAAACAAAACAGGGTGGAACAAACATGTAGTAGTATGTATATTTTGCTCATCTTACCCGACTCTGAACAGAGTGGGTAAAAAAAAGGAAATCCAAATGGCGGGACCATTTTTCATAATAAAATTCTGCATGTAGCACTTTTAAATGTTGGATATGAAAGTCCACTTAAAACACTTCTTTTACAAGAGTCATTCAAATCATTCTTGTACAAAAAAGGGGGTGTTCTTTCTGCAAAACAAAAACAATTCATATTTGTTTTCATTTTGCTGAAAGAACACGTACCTTTTTTGTGATCCGTGGACAAAATTTTAAAACGGTGGTTTGGTTAAAATTCCCTAACTTGAAAAGTGAATGAGTGACTGGAATGATTCTTGTACTAAAAGAAAGCTTATGAATTGGGCTTTCATATCCTAGATTTTGAAAGTGCTACATGCAGAACTTCACTAAAACAATGTTCCGACATTTGGGTTTCGGTTATTTTTACTCACCATTCAACTCGGCTATGCTTCATTTGAATGGAACAGTCAATCTTTGAAAGATGGACTGTTCCATTCAACTCGACTATGCCTCGTTTGGATGGAACAGTCAATCTTTCACTCATGAAATATACCTTCCATAGCACTCATAAACATTCGTTATTTTATAAAAGTGGTGGTAAAACTCTGATCCTCCCATATCTTTCAAAATTCATCAGAGGTGGATTTTTCCAGGATTGAGGAAGGTAGAACCCAACAACTTTGTAAAAAATTTTCACAAGGGGCTTGATACAACTTGATATTTGAAGTACAAAAAGTATACCATTTACATGTAGATCTAAGAGTGGTAGATTTTGGAGGATTTAGGAAGGCTCCTATAGAAGGTTATTAAGGATACATACATTTTGTAAACATGTCAAAAAGTGCACATTTAATCTGAAATGAATTATACAAATGTACTATTGTTGAATGTACTGATTATTTAATAGTCCTATAAAAAGACACCTTCAATAAAATTATGAGCCATAGGCTTTATTGAATGATGGCGGAATCTGAATGTCTTTACTTCATGTCATAGATGTGACAAATTTGAAAATCCAACATAAAAAAATGCTTTTACAACCCACTCACACACATAACACTTCTTGATAAATAACTTAAAGAACATGTTGTCTAATGTTCTCGCAAATATATATACATGTACATTGTAATTGCAATTTATAACCAAACAAAATAATGGGTTGACCAATTTTACACTTATTTTCATCACATGAAATAGACCACTGCAATGATGGCAATTTTATATATGTATGAAACATTATACTTTCGCCGAGTGGACTTAGTTTACCATTGCACTCATAAACATTCAATATTTGTTTTGCACAATACCCAAATAAATCCTCCCCATCTCACTGGTCAGGGCTACCAAAAGTGTGACCGTGCAATGGAACTTCCATAATTCCATAACCATGGAATGCATCTTCCATAACAAGGGAATGGAACTTCCATAACCGTGGAATGGAACTTCCATATCCAGGGAATGGAACTTCGAAAACCATGGAATGGAACTTCCATATCCGTGGAATGGAACTTCCATATCCAGGGAATGGAACTTCTATGTTTGCTGTGCAGCGCACCAAAATGCATGTCTTGGGACAAATAATTCAATGACGCGTTATCAACTACTCACCAATCAGATGATGGGGATTTATTCAGACGTATAAAAAAATGAACATGCATTACTATGTACTACTAAATATATCCTATGCATGTTTTGGTTTTTCAACCATTTTTTTGTGTGCTAAGCACCAAGAAGACATTATTTAATTTTGACGGTGGAATGTACAAATAGGAAAAGGGCAAATGTATCGTGTAAATCATCTGCATACCAGTACATTACATGTAAGTTGGTACTGAATTTATTTTCACATACCGGTACAATACCTTAAATTTCTTTTTTCAAATACCATACCGGTACATGACTGTGTGTTGTTAGCCCTGAAAGAAAACTATTCCATTCCATGTACATGGACATGTGTCAGCTAAGCAATTTCACTGATTCAGATAAAGAATTGCTAATAATACATACAGGGTTTTGCTCTCACGTAAATTGTGAACATGGTGAAGGGAAAAGCCAATACAGAAGTCAGTCAAATGTGTACATGTAGACATGTACATGTACAGTCAAATAGAAATGTTCAGTGCTTGATATTACTACACGTACATGAATATTTATTTCAAAGTCAAAATTTCAATCATGTTACAAAATGCCAATTCTCCCTTCAATTACATTCATGTATGAGGTATTGTACTGATCTACACGACTGGAATGTTCAGAGTTTGATATTTTAACACTAGAAATACTCAAATGAAATTCAAAATTACACACATGTAAAATGTCAAAAGGTTCTCCCATGGAATGCGTTTTTGTGCTTCCTACTACAACTGGAATGTCTCCAAAGTCTGAAATTCGACTTTGATCTAAAATTTGACTTCATTCAGCCTAAGATGAAAGAAGTACACAACATGGTAGTTCACAAGATGAAACGAGTACACAACATGTAGTTTAGATGTGTGCAATACCGGTCGGTATGTGCTGATATTCAAAGCAACATACTGCAGGGAACACTCATGGAACACACATACACATGTTAAAGTTTCAGAAAACACATGTTTTCTTGCAGTTGCCAAAACTTTGTAAATGGAAAACATACACACAACGAAATTCAACGAGTACCTTGACCTGTACTATATATTGTATCTCACCATCATAGACTAATTTTCAGTAGCTCTTTAAAGCTGGAAAAACATAGGGCTTAAAAAAGTTAATCAATTAAAGCACACTTCATCACTTAATAATACCCCGCTAATGAAATTTCTGAATACTCAATGAGTGTAAGGAATCACCACCAGTACCGGTAGCATGGCATAGAAGTACGGTATGACATACATATTTTTTTTACATTGAGCGCTCAGAGAATTCTGAAAAATATAAATTCCCTAAAGATCTGATGGACAAATGTCCACTCTTTAAAGTTCCTCTTCAATCCTCCAAAGTCCTCATGGCAGCTTTGGATGATTTTGGAGGATTGAGGATGAATGGCATTTGAGAAACATGAGGATTTTGGAGGATTGAGGATGAACAGCGTTTTATATTAGCACGTAAGGATTTTGGAGGATGAGGATGAATGGTGTTTGAAGAAGAGGAGGGTTTTGGAGGATTGAGGATAAATGCATTTTTTTAGGCAGCTCTGTCTGCCAATTTTGAAGAATTGAGGCGCTGGGTGTCCTTCAAAATTTGAGGATTGAGGCTGGTTCCTAGCAAAAAGGCCCTAGCGGCTTAGGGTTAAAGCTGAATAAAAAAAATTCATAAAAATCACACTTCATTAAATAAAAATAAATACATTATTTTTTTATGTAGAAAGTCAAAGGGTGTATGGAAACACTACCAGCAGCATACGGTAGAACAGTAAATTATTGCGTGACGTACATGTACATGATTCATATTAACTCTCAGAAAATTCTGCAAAATATGTAAATGAGGCCCCCTCATTTATAGATCACAAACTCCCCCCCCCCCATTCTCTTTTTGTACAAATGTAACCAACAGGTCTCCTTCACACTTAAAGTTACATCTTTGCTTTACCCTGGTAACCCCTACTTGAAAGTGGACCGACCCCTGAGCCTAGAGGGTGCAGTGGTTTGGGGTGGTGTGGCCTAACATGCCTTAGTGCTGTTTTCCCATCAACTAAGCCGCTGTTTCCTCTGTTCCCTCTCCATTTCAGTCGGTTAAAAAGAACAACATTCACCATCCTTTACAACATGTCAGAAGTGGGATAACCGACACCACAATGAATGGAGAGAAGGCAGCAGGAGAAGGAGCTCAGGCGGCCCCAGTGCTCAATCAAGTGACGTATGTGCCATTTGACTTCGGAGTGAGAGTCTTCGTCGGGCACCCTCAAAGCCCAAATGACCCCCATGTGGAAGAGTGGGTGAGAGATATCTAGTGCCTGTTCCAGTTATGGCAGACCCCAGCTGACCAGCAGTCCCAACTCCTGTTGCAATATCTGTCAGGAGAAGCTAAGAGAGTTGTGTAGGTCATGGAGCCAGACGATCGAGAGGACAGCCAGGTGATCTTGGAGCGACTCCTAGAAGTCTACGGTGATAAAACACCAATTTCTTCGCTTCTTCAGACCTTTCACAACAGGAAGCAGAGAAGAGAGGAGACAGTGAGGGAGTTTTCCCTTGCTCTCCTAGAGATCGCCAGCCGGATAAAGAAACGTGACCCAGAGGCCCTGGCCAAGCAGGATGAAATGCTGAGAGACCGATTCATCCAAGGTCTCCAGAATCAGGAAGTTCTCAGGCCCCTCAAGTCAGATCTTCAGCGGAAGCCAGCCCTCAAATTCAAGGACGTACTGGCTGAAGCGCTTCAACTGACGGCTGACCACGAGGAGAGTGTCAGTGTGCACACTGTGGCATCACGCTTGGAGTATCCTCAGCCCCCAGCCCTTTTGAAGACCTTACAAGAGGCTGTACAGAGGACCTTCGAGCAGCAAAGAGAAATGGCAGAAATGGTGGCTGCCATGAGGAAAGAGTTGAACCAGTTATGCGTAAGTTCACACAGTGGAAACTACCAGAAGAAGGTTTTTGATAAGAAGGCAAAACATCTGCCCTTACTTCAAGGAGAAAGAGTTCTTGTCCGGCTGAGAGGTCTGAAGGGGAGGTCGAAGATACAGGACCGTTGGGAATCAACCCCATATGTAGTCTTGCGGCAACCTAATTGAGACGTGCCTGTCTATGAAGTAGAGCAGGAAGGGACAAAGCAGCAGAAGGTCCTTCATCGGAATGCACTGTCTGTGTGTTGTTTCAAACAAGCCCCAGTACCAGCAAGTTCTCCTTCAGCTGACCCACCTCCCTACCCAGACTCATCGGATCCCTCATGTGCCAGCACCCTGAATCCAGAAGCCCCGGTCTTTCGTGCGAGAGGTTGGCTAGTGACAACACCTGCCCCCAAGCAAAAGGAATGCAGAATATTGCCAACACCACCGCAGGCAGTATTGGCAGAAGCGCCAGGAGAGCAACCTTGAAAGAGACTTCCTTCCCCACCGATTCAACCAGTGTCCCCTGTCCCGGAACGTCCCCCCTACCATCCATCTCAGCCTGTAGTTCCAAGCCAAGCCATGACACCGAGACCAGACTCTCCCATTCCGAAACCAGTGCCAAGACGTTGCTCCAGCAGGAGTACACGAGGGAAGCGTCCGGAACATTTGGTTTTTCGAGAACTTTAATTAGATTATTGGACACTTAAGAGATGTCTTTTTATTTTTCTGATGTCATTCGGATATTAGA